GAACCACACCACCAGAAGAAACCGTTTCTGGATTCGTTCCGGCGCGCACCGGCGACGCTTCGCAACGAGCGGGTTGGTGTGCGAAGTGTTTCGCTAGGTCCCTCCGGCTAGGGGTGCGAGGGGTTTCGCGAGGGGGTTTCGAGAGCCAGGGCTGGGCTTCCGGGGGGAGGGGGGGGGGTTTCGAGAGCCAGGGCTGGGCTTCGGGGGACATCCGGGTGTGGTCTCGGGCTGCGTGGCGCAGACGTGGCCCGGGCTCGGTGCGGGGACAGTTCGCCAGCTGACTCCGCCGCCCAGATCTCGCTAGGGACCTGCATGCGGGCGGGGCACTCCCTCCCGGTGGGTCCCAGCTCCCAGTTGGGGGTCGCGACAGGGCTTGCATCCGCGTGCGGCACTGGTGGAAACCCGTTTCCACCAGGGGGGGGGGGGACCTGGTGGCTTCTCTCCCACCAGGGCCCGGATGGACTGCATTGTTTATGCGCGATGAGCGGAAAATGGGCAGAAACACTGCTCCAGAAGCGGTAAAACTGTGCACGAAGCGAACATTTTCAGTAACAGTGCTCGCTCAACTGAAAACCCTTGCAATTTCTCGAGTATGCGGAGGTCGGTCACAACTCGTTTTTGGCAGGGAGTCCCAAAACACATCGAGAGCACTGCTCAGGCACCCTAGTCTGGGATATGTACTCGGAGCAGTATTTTCGGGCAAGGCAGAAAAACCTATTCCCCAATCGGAAACGGAACCGACTCGGCGAGGCATCAACCCTGATCACTGGGCGGCTTCATGTGTTCAGGGTTGATCAAACCCGAACCCTGTCCATGTCCCCTAGCGGTTTATTTATGTTCCTGCCCTTAACCACTGTTCAATTCCGGTCGCACTCAGTTCCGGTACAGTTCCGCCGCTCTAGTACAGTGGTAACAAGGAATTAACGACGCTACGAGCCTGTATGGATGGACAAAAGGTCTTGTTCCTCGCACCCTTGTACAGTCGTACTGTCCTTGCAATAGCGGTGGGCTAGTGGATCTGGGACCTCCTCTTTCGTGTCCTCGGTCACACGACTCAAGAACGACTCACGCGAAGCGAAACGACCATGCGAGGGCCTGCCTGCACTCAATGCCCAAATATATCGCGTCTAAAAAAATATACTAAATAACTTTGAGTGATTTACAACTCGGAACGGGCAACTGTTCCCACATTATACTTACGTGGTCAACGAGATTCATCAGATGTGACCCCCGGATCGAGACATCTAACTGCTCTCGTCAGCTATAGTAACATTTGTTTTCTTGGCAAACCTGGCGATGGAGGAAAAATGCTAGTACATATCTACTTCACTTGGTCGTAATGATAATTTCAACCTAATGAGAATTGATTGTACTTGACGAGTCGTGCGTACAGTGACGATTTTGTAGACTGCAGACCATGTGCGGTCGACCAGGCATCATCCCAAAAAGGCGGGCATTAAAATTGAGAGAAGTATTTTTTCACGGTGTGGGGAACTAATGAAATCGTGAAATCGTGCTGTATCACCAATGTATTTTTTTCTCGAAATTACGGCAGACACAACTAGAATGTATACAAATTCCACAACTGGAGAGCCAGTCCCCAGAATCGTTTGGCGCTTAGTGCCTCTTTCAGATTTGTTGCAACGCGGAGACACGGGCCTGCCAGCCTCGTGTCTTTCACATAGTCATACGGGTCCCCCGAAGAAGGATAGGGTACGAAAAAACAAATGTGAACGACGTCAGGAATGTCGGCAGGAACGGACAGTTCGGCTGGTGGAGATTGTTGTTCTTGCCTCCCCGTGATTCTTATGCGTGGCAATCGTTGCCTGTTTTTATAGCCATGTTGCAAAATGTATCCCTTCAGGTTCTTCCACTTGTCTCTCGTGGCCATGTTGTTTAGCTGCTTGCTGCTGGTCCTGATGTTTTTTTTTTACAAATGTTGCAACAGATGAACTTGATGTTTGTGTCTTCCGAACGCGGCCCTGCTATCAATCAGACTAATGTTCAAGGAGAGATTATGCCTGCTTCTGTCGGCTGCCGAATTTAACGATGCCCTAGTTTCTTGGGCAGCATTTGAAGATGGGAACCTTATGCACAGTAATCGCTCGAACAGCCCAGCAGCAATGGCCTCCTCGGAATCAACCTTCCTGTTCTTCACCATCGGACAGATTCCATTGCTTTGAGTGTGCCTCCTGCAGGGTTTGCATTTCTCTCACGTTGTGCCGCTCTATAATCGCCACAAAAACAAAGTGGTCTTCATTTTTTTGGCGGAGTTTGCATTTCCCTCGCAGTGTTGTGCTTAGTAACCTTGGCCATTCGAAGCGGGCTTTTCTCCAAACTCCTCTGGTGGTTGCTGTGGCAGTACTCCAGATCCAGCACGCTAGAGTCGTTCCTGGTAGTAGTACTTAGCGGTAGGGGAAGAACGGGCATGGTCGCCATGGCGACCCGGGGGCGGTATGTGCGCCCCGTCGCGGTGGTCGTGCTCGCAGTACTGTCCAGCCACCTTCACGGCGTCGCTAGTAGTGTCGTCATGCTGACCGATCAAGGTGGAAGCCCTAGCCCTAGCCCTAAACGCGGCGTTTTCGTAGTATCCTCACCATAATGACATCCCATGCGTGATGGCAGTACTAGATATCACGCCGAGTCGAAAGTTTCAATTCAACCCGCTGCATCTGATGAGCCAGTCGTTCCCACGCGTCCTCAGACTAGTTTGAGGTTGCTTTCGTGGGGGTTGGATATTCTTGGAAGTGACCTCCAACCCTCGAAAAATGAAAAATTCGTTTCCAGAAACTTCATTGCATGTCTGTGGATGCGCTCAGTACGCCGCACCGCTGTGACTTCTGAAATGGCCGTTTTGTTCACGGCGGGAGTGTTATATTTTGCTACTCGTTCCTTCCACCGTTCACCTACCCTCGCGGCTGTAAACGCTCAAGCCCATGCCTTGCCGCGCGTACTTGTCGTGTGCAAGCAAGCCTGAGAGGCTCCATGTCCTTTCCTTGCATTCCTACCCTCACCTCCCTTCCCGCTTCCCTCCCCCTTTCCTCTTCCTGTTCCCATCAGCGACCGCCCTGATGAACATGAAGGCGGCCATGGGGCTGACCTACACCACGTGGGCCACCACCAACCCGTGCCGTATTGACAGCGCCGCTGCAGTCGCTGGCGAGTGGGAGCGCGTGAGCTGCACCGCTGATGGCAAAATCTCCGCGATGTGAGTGCAAGCGGCAAGGCACGGTGAGTGCTGGCGGCAAAGGCAGGGGTGTGAGTGCAAGCGGCAAGGCACGGTGAGTGCTGGCGGCAAAGGCAGGGGTGTGAGTGCAAGCGGCAAGGCAGGGTGTGTAGAGGCAGCAAGACAGGGGTGTGAGAGCAGGCGGCAAGGCAGGGGTGCGAGTGCAAGCGGCAAGGCAGGGGTGTGAGTGCAGGCGGCAAGGCACGGTGTGTGAGAGCAGGCGGCAAAGGCAGGGGTGTGAGTGCAGGCGGCAAAGGCAGGGGTGTGAGTGCAGGCGGCAAGGCAGGGATGTGTGCAGGCGGCAAGGCAGGGGTGTGAGTGCAGGCGGCAAGGCAGGGGTGTGAGTGCAGGCGACAAAGGCAGGGGTGTGAGTGCAGGCGGCAAGGCAGGGGTGTGAGTGCAGGCGGCAAGGCAGGGGTGTGAGTGCAAGCGGCAAAGGCAGGGGTGTGAGTGCAAGCGGCAAGGCAGAGGGGTGAGTGCAAGCGGCAAGGCAGGGGTGTGAGTGCAAGCGGAGAAGGCAGGGGTGTGAGGGGTGTGAGTGCAAGCGGCAAGCAGGGGTGTGAGTGCAAGCGGCAAGCAGGGGTGTGAGTGCAAGCGGCAAGCAGGGGTGTGAGTGCATGCGGCAAGGCAGGGGTGTGAGAGCAGGCGGCAAGGCAGGGATGTGAGTGCAGGCGGCAAGGCAGGGTGTTTGCAGCAGTCCATAAAGTTCCCTCTCAAATTATGTTTCACCGTTTACCTTGCCCAAGATGACACACATATGGTGGTCGCATGATTGCATGTCATTGCGGCACGTGAGAGAGGAATATATCCAAGGACATGTGAGGCAACTCGTCCATCGCGTGCTTCCTCTGACTGCTGTGACACCCACAGATTCCATCTCCCGTCCATACCTGGATACCGTATTTATCTGCCCACCCGCCCTTGCGTGTGTCACCCATCGCACTTTCACTACTGTTGTGCACTTCAGAGAGCTGAATAACGGAGGTCTCAAGGCCTCACTTTCTTCCGACATCTCCACGCTCACAGCTCTCACTTACCTGTGAGTTGAGTCTGCTATGCTCTGCCTGTTCAGATTCACCCTGTAACGCGAATGTTCTCTGCTGTCATATCCGCTGCTTTGTCTTTCCTTTCTTGGCAGGGTACAGAGGATACCCAGAGCTCCTACTAGAGTTGCCTAGTCGAGCCATGCTGCATTCAAAGAAGAGGTTCAAGCGCAATGACCGTGCCTCTTGCTCTGCTTCTTCTGGCCCTTCCCCCCACAGCAACATGCAGAACAATCTCCTCAGCTACCGCATCGATTCCTTCACCACCAACCTCCGATCCTTGCCAGTGCTGGCCGACATGTGAGTGTCGAAGTATATCATATCGCCCCGCTAGACTCGAGTCTGGGTTACCACGTTCGATTTCTTGGTACGACCACTCGGGCGGAAAATGTGAACCAGATGGGATTCGAATGCTCTGATTCGAGTATAACGTCCCGCAAATGATGATGGTGCCTTGTCTCCCCTTAGATCATATCTCCCCGCTAGACGTCACTTACTACCGTTTCTCTCTCGATCCTCCACCCTCCGTTCACATGCTGCCACTCATCTGATCGCCGCTTCTCATCTCATCGCCGCTGTGATTGTCTCTGCTCCTCCCGCAGCCGTCTGCACTACAACTACCTTTGGGGAGAAATCCCCTCGTATCTCGTGGGTCTCCCGAAACTCACTAATCTGTAAGTCCGATAGGAAGGCACGTGCCGGATGGCTGCATCATGCTGTTTTTAAGGAGCATGCTACCTCTATGTTCTTGGCCCCTGGGCCTGCCTGCACACTCCTTCCTTATGACGGCCCTTGACGCATCCGCCCCCTCGTTGCCCTCCCCCCTCGCCAGCGTGGCTTACTACAACTACTTCATCGGCACCGTGCCTGCGCTCGGCCCGTTGCTGCTCTCTCTGGACGTGCGAGGAAACTTCCTCACGGACCTGCCCTCAGCGAGCTACACGTGGTGCGGGTGCGCCGGGAACTGCATGGCCGCGGCGACAGCGGCCGCCAAGTGCATCAGCGGCGGCCCGGGCCAGCGGCCTGCGGGCGACTGTGCTGTCTGCGGCACCACCAACGGCGTGCCCCCCCTCTGTGCGATGGGCGGAGTGTGCAAGGTGGACGCGAGTGCACGCGTCACTGCCGGCACTGTGAACCTGCCGGCACAGCCCGCGCTGCCCATGACGTGCTCGCTCCTCATGGATCCAGTGGATTGTGCGTGCTCCTCACCCTGCTCCTCACCCTGCTCCTCTCCGTGCTCACCCGGTTCATCCTCCACCGTTCCCTCCTCTCCCAGCTAGCCGTCAAGTCCCCTGCACCACGCTGCATGCATTCCTGCTTTCCACCTCCTCTCTCCATCTTGCATAAGTTTCCTTTGTGCCACACCACACTGCCATGCATCCCCACCCGCCACGCCCTGCAGTCGCCGCCATGCAGAACATCAAGAGCACGCTGGGTGTGACCTACACCACTTGGACCGCCACCAACCCGTGCCGCTACGCTCGATCCGGAGTGGCTGTTGCAGGCGAGTGGACTGGCGTCACCTGCGTGGGCGGCAAGGTGTCCGACATGTGAGTGCACAGCGCCGACTCACTCACACCACCACGTCACCCACACCACTGAATCACTCACTCACACCACCGCGTCACTCAATCACACCACCGACTCACTCACACCATGGTGCCCTCAATCATCCTCCTGCTTCAACCGTGTGCATGCATCCTCTGACCGCTCTTGTTGCTTGCATCCTCTGACCGCTCTTGTTGCTTGTGCCCCCCCAACACATCGCCACCAACTGCTGCGTGCACCAGGGGTTTGAATAGCCTCGGCCTCAAGGGCTCCCTTCACGCTGACATCTCCAAGCTCACATCTCTCAGCTACTTGTGAGCGCCTTCTGCTCCCTTCTCATGCTGCTTCAATCTCCGTGTGCCAATGCTGATGCACCCTCTTTCTGCATTGGCTGCTGTGCCAAATGCAATGGGCGGTCCAGCCTGTGTCGAATTGCCCAATCAGGCCATGATGCATCCACTTGAGGTTCAACCGCAATTCCCGTGCCTCCTGCACCGTCCTCTCGCCATCCCCCACAGAAACATCCCGGGAAATCTCTTGAACTATCGCCTGGACTCCTTCACCACCAACCTCCGGTCCTTGCCAGAGCTGGCTGTCCTGTGAGTGCCTGCTAGGGCGTGGCCGGCACGGGAGGAGGGATGAGAGCTGGCGAATGATGATGGTGGTGTCTTGGCTCGCCTCAGCCTTTTCACCCACTCCCATATCTGCCAGTCATTCAACCTCTGTTTCACATGCTGCCACTCATCTCATCGCCACCTTCACCGTCTCTGCTCCTGTCGCAGCGCCCTGCATTACAACTACTTGTACGGAGAAGTCCCCTCATTCCTCGTGGGCCTCCCGAAACTCACTGCCTTGTAAGTTGGACAGTAGGAAGGCACGGACCGGGTGGGAAGCTGCATGCTGCGTGTGAGTCTGTTAGTAGCAAGGTGCATGGCACTTCTCCCTGCTCGCCCTCTGCTCCTCCCTGCCCATCTCTGCCCACGATGAAGCCCTTTATGCATCTGCCCCCTTGCTGCGCTCCCCCCTCCCCAGCGGTGCTATCTACAACTACCTCATCGGCACCGTGCCTGCGCTCGGCCCTTTGCTGGTCTTGCTGGACGTGCGAGGCAACTTCATAACGGACGTGCCAGCAGCCACCTACACGTACTGTGGGGGCTACTTGAACTGCCTGCCCACTCCCTCCAAGTGCCCCAGCGGCGGCACCACGCAACGCTCTGCCGCAGCTTGTAGTGTCTGCGGCACCACCAACGGCGTTGGCCCGTTCTGCGCCTCGACGGGAGGGGTGTGCTCAGTTGACGCGGCTGCACTCGTCACTGCCAGCACGGTGAACTCGCCCTCGCAGCCCGTGCTGCCTATGTCGTGCATGGATCCAGTGGATGGTGCGTGCTCCCCACCGTGCTCACACGGTTCATCTCTCCACCGTTCCCACCTCTCCCAGCTAGCCGTCAAGTCCCCCCCACCACAGTGCATGCATTCCCGCTTTCCACCTCTCCTCTCTTCTCCTTTGCATGATTTTCCCTTTGCCCACACCACACTGCCGTGCCATGCATCCCCGCCCGCCACTCCTTGCAGTCGCCGCCATGCAGAACATCAAGACCACGCTGGGTGTGACCTACACCACTTGGACCGCCACCAACCCGTGCCGCAATGCTCGATCCGCGGTGGCCCTTGCGGGCGAATGGACTGGTGTCACCTGCGTGGGCGGCAAAGTGTCCGACATGTGAGTGCCCACCTCCGCTCCGCCCCACCCTCACCCCACCCACACCACACCTCAACCACTCCATGGTGCCCTCAGTCATTCCTGCTTCAACCGTGTGCGTGCATCCTCTGACCGCTCTTGTTGCGTGCATCCTCTGACCGCTCTTGCTGCTTGTCTCCTCCCAACACGTTGCCACCAACTGTCCCGTGCACCAGGGGTTTGAATAGCCTCGGCCTCAAGGGCTCCCTTCACGCTGACATCTCCAAGCTCACATCTCTCAGCTACTTGTGAGCGCCTTCTGCTCCCTTCTCATGCTGCTTCAATCTCCGTGTGCCAATGCTGATGCACCCTCTTGCTGCATTGGCTGCTGTGCCAAATGCAATGGGCGGTCCAGCCTGTGTCGAATTGCCCAATCAGGCCATGATGCATCCACTTGAGGTTCAACCGCAATTCCCGTGCCTCCTGCACCGTCCTCTCGCCATCCCCCACAGAAACATCCCGGGAAATCTCTTGAACTATCGCCTGGACTCCTTCACCACCAACCTCCGGTCCTTGCCAGAGCTGGCTGTCCTGTGAGTGCCTGCTAGGGCGTGGCCGGCACGGGAGGAGGGATGAGAGCTGGCGAATGATGATGGTGGTGTCTTGGCTCGCCTCAGCCTTTTCACCCACTCCCATATCTGCCAGTCATTCAACCTCTGTTTCACATGCTGCCACTCATCTCATCGCCACCTTCACCGTCTCTGCTCCTGTCGCAGCGCCCTGCATTACAACTACTTGTACGGAGAAGTCCCCTCATTCCTCGTGGGCCTCCCGAAACTCACTGCCTTGTAAGTTGGACAGTAGGAAGGCACGGACCGGGTGGGAAGCTGCATGCTGCGTGTGAGTCTGTTAGTAGCAAGGTGCATGGCACTTCTCCCTGCTCGCCCTCTGCTCCTCCCTGCCCATCTCTGCCCACGATGAAGCCCTTTATGCATCTGCCCCCTTGCTGCGCTCCCCCCTCCCCAGCGGTGCTATCTACAACTACCTCATCGGCACCGTGCCTGCGCTCGGCCCTTTGCTGGTCTTGCTGGACGTGCGAGGCAACTTCATAACGGACGTGCCAGCAGCCACCTACACGTACTGTGGGGGCTACTTGAACTGCCTGCCCACTCCCTCCAAGTGCCCCAGCGGCGGCACCACGCAACGCTCTGCCGCAGCTTGTAGTGTCTGCGGCACCACCAACGGCGTTGGCCCGTTCTGCGCCTCGACGGGAGGGGTGTGCTCAGTTGACGCGGCTGCACTCGTCACTGCCAGCACGGTGAACTCGCCCTCGCAGCCCGTGCTGCCTATGTCGTGCATGGATCCAGTGGATGGTGCGTGCTCCCCACCGTGCTCACACGGTTCATCTCTCCACCGTTCCCACCTCTCCCAGCTAGCCGTCAAGTCCCCCCCACCACAGTGCATGCATTCCCGCTTTCCACCTCTCCTCTCTTCTCCTTTGCATGATTTTCCCTTTGCCCACACCACACTGCCGTGCCATGCATCCCCGCCCGCCACTCCTTGCAGTCGCCGCCATGCAGAACATCAAGACCACGCTGGGTGTGACCTACACCACTTGGACCGCCACCAACCCGTGCCGCAATGCTCGATCCGCGGTGGCCCTTGCGGGCGAATGGACTGGTGTCACCTGCGTGGGCGGCAAAGTGTCCGACATGTGAGTGCCCACCTCCGCTCCGCCCCACCCTCACCCCACCCACACCACACCTCAACCACTCCATGGTGCCCTCAGTCATTCCTGCTTCAACCGTGTGCGTGCATCCTCTGACCGCTCTTGTTGCGTGCATCCTCTGACCGCTCTTGCTGCTTGTCTCCTCCCAACACGTTGCCACCAACTGTCCCGTGCACCAGGGGTTTGAATAGCCTCGGCCTCAAGGGCTCCCTTCACGCTGACATCTCCAAGCTCACATCTCTCAGCTACTTGTGAGCGCCTTCTGCTCCCTTCTCATGCTGCTTCAATCTCCGTGTGCCAATGCTGATGCACCCTCTTGCTGCATTGGCTGCTGTGCCAAATGCAATGGGCGGTCCAGCCTGTGTCGAATTGCCCAATCAGGCCATGATGCATCCACTTGAGGTTCAACCGCAATTCCCGTGCCTCCTGCACCGTCCTCTCGCCATCCCCCACAGAAACATCCCGGGAAATCTCTTGAACTATCGCCTGGACTCCTTCACCACCAACCTCCGGTCCTTGCCAGAGCTGGCTGTCCTGTGAGTGCCTGCTAGGGCGTGGCCGGCACGGGAGGAGGGATGAGAGCTGGCGAATGATGATGGTGGTGTCTTGGCTCGCCTCAGCCTTTTCACCCACTCCCATATCTGCCAGTCATTCAACCTCTGTTTCACATGCTGCCACTCATCTCATCGCCACCTTCACCGTCTCTGCTCCTGTTGCAGCGCCCTGCATTACAACTACTTGTACGGAGAAGTCCCCTCATTCCTCGTGGGCCTCCCGAAACTCACTGCCTTGTAAGTTGGACAGTAGGAAGGCACGGACCGGGTGGGAAGCTGCATGCTGCGTGTGAGTCTGTTAGTAGCAAGGTGCATGGCACTTCTCCCTGCTCGCCCTCTGCTCCTCCCTGCCCATCTCTGCCCACGATGAAGCCCTTTATGCATCTGCCCCCTTGCTGCGCTCCCCCCTCCCCAGCGGTGCTATCTACAACTACCTCATCGGCACCGTGCCTGCGCTCGGCCCTTTGCTGGTCTTGCTGGACGTGCGAGGCAACTTCATAACGGACGTGCCAGCAGCCACCTACACGTACTGTGGGGGCTACTTGAACTGCCTGCCCACTCCCTCCAAGTGCCCCAGCGGCGGCACCACGCAACGCTCTGCCGCAGCTTGTAGTGTCTGCGGCACCACCAACGGCGTTGGCCCGTTCTGCGCCTCGACGGGAGGGGTGTGCTCAGTTGACGCGGCTGCACTCGTCACTGCCAGCACGGTGAACTCGCCCTCGCAGCCCGTGCTGCCTATGTCGTGCATGGATCCAGTGGATGGTGCGTGCTCCCCACCGTGCTCACACGGTTCATCTCTCCACCGTTCCCACCTCTCCCAGCTAGCCGTCAAGTCCCCCCCACCACAGTGCATGCATTCCCGCTTTCCACCTCTCCTCTCTTCTCCTTTGCATGATTTTCCCTTTGCCCACACCACACTGCCGTGCCATGCATCCCCGCCCGCCACTCCTTGCAGTCGCCGCCATGCAGAACATCAAGACCACGCTGGGTGTGACCTACACCACTTGGACCGCCACCAACCCGTGCCGCAATGCTCGATCCGCGGTGGCCCTTGCGGGCGAATGGACTGGTGTCACCTGCGTGGGCGGCAAAGTGTCCGACATGTGAGTGCCCACCTCCGCTCCGCCCCACCCTCACCCCACCCACACCACACCTCAACCACTCCATGGTGCCCTCAGTCATTCCTGCTTCAACCGTGTGCGTGCATCCTCTGACCGCTCTTGTTGCGTGCATCCTCTGACCGCTCTTGCTGCTTGTCTCCTCCCAACACGTTGCCACCAACTGTCCCGTGCACCAGGGGTTTGAATAGCCTCGGCCTCAAGGGCTCCCTTCACGCTGACATCTCCAAGCTCACATCCCTCACCTACCTGTGAGCTGCATCTGCTCCCTCCTTATGCGTCTTTACTGGCTTTACAATGCTGATGCACCTCTTGCTGCATTGGCTGCTACATCTTTCCTATCTCGGCGAAATGCGCTGGGAGGCCCTACCTTTTGTGGAGTTACCCTGTCAAGCCATGATGCATTTATTGGAGGTTCAAACGCAATGGCCTCGCCCCCCTCCACCCTCTGTTCGCCCATCGCAGCTCCATGTCCTCGAATCTCTTCAACTACCGCCTCGATTCCTTCTCCACCAACCTTCAATCCCTGTCAATAGTTTCACTGTGAGTGCCAGTCCTGACCGACCGACATGTGAGTGCCTGAGCTGAGTGTGGTTGGCAAGGGAATGAGGGGTGAGAGCAGAGGAGGCGAATGATGATAATAGTGTCTTGTCTCTAATCCACTTGCTCGCCCTTTTATTCCCAATCTTCCTACCTCCGTTTCGGCTCATGCTTGCTCAAGCTTCTCTCCATATATACTGTGCCTCAGTCTCGAGCCTGCACAAACCTTGCCCTTCCACATGCTGCCACTCATGCTCCTCTCGCAGCCTCCTGCACTACAACTACTTGTACGGTGAAATCCCCTCGTTTCTCGTGGGCCTCCCAACACTCACTGCCTTGTAAGTCTGGGAAGGAAGCCATGTACTGCCCGCCTGCATGCTGCTTTTGAACATGCATGCTGCTTCCTTCTCCTTCCTCGCCCTCCCGTCCTGTTCGCATACCTCTCATGCCACACTCCCTGCCTCTCCCCCATTCGCTGCTCCCTACCATCAGGGGCATCGTCGGCAACTACCTCATGGGCTCCGTGCCAGCGCTCGCCGCGAGTCTACGCAACATGGACCTGCGGTTCAACTTCCTCACCGACCTCCCAGCGGTCACCTACTCCTCCTGCGGGGGTGCCGGCAACTGCCTGCTCACCCCCTCCAAGTGCTCAACCATCGGCGGCTTGGTTCAGCGGGCTGCGGCGGATTGTGCCTTCTGCGGCACCACCAACGGCGTGCCGCCGTTCTGCTGGGGGGCGGGAGGGGTGTGCACGGTGGACGCGAGTGCACGCGTCACTGCCGGCACTGTGAGCGGAACAGCACAGCCCGTGCTGCCCAGGACGTGCGTGGGCGGGCCGGTTGTGGCCATCAAAGAAAGCACAGGTAGGCAGCGGACAGGGCAGCGGGCAGGGGGCAGCGGGCAGCGGGCAGCGGGCAGGGGGCAGGGGGCAGGGGGCAGGGGGCAGGGGGCAGGGGGCAGGGGGCAGGGGGCAGGGGGCAGGGGGCAGGGGGCAGGGGGCAGGGGGCAGGGGGCAGGGGGCAGGGGGCAGGGGGCAGGGGGCAGGGGGCAGGGGGCAGGGGGCAGGGGGCAGGGGGCAGGGGGCAGGTGCGAGGAGCACAGGTGGCCTCTGGGGGGGATGCGTGTGATGGTCCAGCACCGAGTGCTGGGCTACATGGGTAGGACCGTGCTGCCAGAGTCAGCGTCCACAGGGCCTCCCCCCACCTCTTGCTGCCTAACTTGTTGCCCCTTTCCCCGCGTGCCCCTCACCAGCCATGCTGGCCCTCAAGGCCTCTCTCGGCGTCACTCTCACCACGTGGGCGGCCACTGCGCCGTGCCAAATCTCGGGGCAGACCACCACGGCGGGAGTGTGGGGCGGCGTGCTCTGTGACAGCACTGGGAGTGTCATCAGCATGTGAGTCGGCGTGATTGGCATGTAAGTCTTTATGGGGGTAACACCCCACTCGACCTTTGTTCACCTCCCCTGCTGCCCACCTGTCAACCTTAATAACGTCGAACAATCTGGCTGTAAGAAGATGATGTTTACACACAGCCCATTGGGTAGATATTGAGCAGATAAATCATCGTCAAAGTCTTTGGCACTAATAGGACCAATAGTAATCATCAGCATATGTCTGAAGTTTTTTTTTTTTTAAGTTAATTCTTGAGAAGTTAACTTGCTCAAGCGCATCTGAGGCAAATTCTCCACCGCATGCTCCCTCTGGCTGCTTCCATAATCTCCCGACTATACCCACATACCGTATTCATCTGCTCACCCGCCCTTGCATGTGTCACTATCTGTTTTGCACATCAGAACCCAGACCTACTCAAACCTCAAGGGCTCACTTGCGAGTGAAATCTCCACGCTCACAGCGCTCACCTTCCTGTGAGTTACGCTGCCATGCTCTGATCCACCTTGTGATGCTGTCTGCTGTCGTATCGGCTGCTTTATCTTTTTTTTTTTTGGCTGGATAGAGTTTCCCAGAGCTCCATCCATACAGCTGCCCAGTTGAGCCATGATGCATTCATTCAGTCGAGGCTGAAGCGCAACGACCATACCTATTGCACCCACTGCTCGCCCCTCCCCACAGCAACGTACAGAGCAATCTCCTCAACTACCGCCTTGACTCCTTCACCACCAACCTCCGAGCCTTGCCAGTGCTGGCCGTCTTGTGAGTGCCTGCCACTGCCAGGGTGCAGCTGGCAAGGGAGGAGGGGTGAGAGGAGGCAAATGATGCTCGTGTGTTGTCTCGCCTCAGCCTTCCACCCACTCTCGTTTCTCTCTCAATCTTCCAACCTCTGTTTCAATACTGCCACCATTGCCGCCCTTGCCACCCTCACCATATCTGCTCCTGTCACATTGCAGCGCTGCGCACTACAACTACTTGTACGGGGAAATCCCCTCGTTTCTCGTGGGCCTCCCAAAACTCACTGCGTTGTAAGTCCGTGAGGAAGGTACAAAACAAATGGCTGTGTGCGGCTTTTTATATTGCATGCCACTTCTCCTTCCTTGCCAGTCCTCCTTATAAGCACCCTCTATGCGCCTTCCCCGTTGCTTCCCTCCCCATCGCCAGCGGAGCGGTGTACAACTATTTCATCGGCACGGTGCCGGCGGTGGCATCGAAGCTGAACACGCTGGACGTGCGCGGCAACTTCCTCACGGACGTGCCCACAGGAAGCTACTCCTGGTGTGGGGGCGGCGCTAACTGCCTCGTGTCGCCCGCCAAGTGCACCAACGGCATCGGCTCCACCCAGCGCCCTGCTGCAGATTGTGCCATCTGCGGCACCACCAACGGCGTGGCCCCCTTCTGCTGGGGGGCGGAAGGAGTGTGCTCGGTGGACGCGAGTGCACGCGTCACTGCCGGCACTGTGAACGCGCCGGCACAGCCCGCGATCCCCATGGCGTGCGTGGGCAGCCCGGTTGCGGCCCTCAAGGAAAGCACAGGTAGGCAGAGAGCTGGGGGCAGGGGGTGGGGAACAGGGAGCAAGGGGCAGGGCTCAGTTGTTGTCCGCAAGGCACGTCTGTCCGTGAGTGCCTTGCTGCTAGGAGGGCAGGTGAGCAAGGCGTGTGCGAGAAGCACAGATGGCCATTGGGGTGGATGTGGGGCGGTCCAGCAGCGTTGCCTCATGAGGGCGCTGGGCCACATGGGGCCGTGCTGCTCACAGCAGTGCCCACACCTCAGGTCCCTTCGTCCCCCTCCTTTTGCTCACGTGCTCCTTGGGGCCTCCCCCCACCTCCCTCTGCCTGCCTTGCTGCCCCTTTCCCCGCGTGCCCCTCACCAGCCATGCTCGCCCTCAAGGCCTCTCTGGGCGTCACTCTCACCACGTGGGCAACCTCTGTGCCGTGCCAAATCGGGGGGAAGACCACCACGGCCACAGTGTGGGGCGGCGTGCTGTGTGATAGCACTGGCAGTGTCGTGAGCATGTGAGTGGCTATGGGCATGTAGGTCGTCACCCGCATGGCGGTGGTTCATGCATGTCCGTGTGGCGATGCGAGTGAGGAGAGGATTATCATTTGAGCAAGCAAGGCAATGTGAGGCAGCTTGCGTCGTGATGACACCGACCCTCATTTTTGGCTGCTCACCCGCTCTTGCATGTGTGCTCCAATGCTCTCTGCCACCAACTGTTGTGCCCCTCAGATCTGTGGAGAACGCAAAGCTCAAGGGCTCACTTCCCACTGACATCTCCACGCTCACAGCCCTCACCTTCCTGTGAGTTGCGTCTGCTATACCCTGGCTGTTCTGATCGGCTGCTGAGAATGCTTTCTGCTCTCAATCGGCTGCTTTATGGTTCCTTACCTGGCAGGAGAGAGTTCTTAAAGCCCGGTTGACCCATAATGCAACGACCATACCTATTGCACCCACTGCTCGCCCCTCCCCACAGCAACGTACAGAGAAATCTCCTCAACTACCGCCTTGACTCCTTCACCACCAACCTCCGAGCCTTGCCAGTGCTGGCCCTCTTGTGAGTGCCTGCCACTGCCAGGGTGCAGCTGGCAAGGGAGGAGGGGTGAGAGGAGGCAAATGATGCTCGTGTGTTGTCTCGCCTCAGTCTTCCACCCACTCTCGTTTCTCTCTCAATCTTCCAACCTCTGTTTCAATACTGCCACCATTGCCGCCCTTGCCACACTCACCATATCTGCTCCTGTTGCGTTGCAGCGCTGCGCACTACAACTACTTGTACGGGGAAATCCCCTCGTTTCTCGTGGGCCTCCCAAAACTCACTTCGTTGTAAGTCCGTGAGGAAGGTACAAAACAAATGGCTGTGTGCGGCTTTTTATATTGCATGCCACTTCTCCTTCCTTGCCAGTCCTCCTTATAAGCACCCTCTATGCGCCTTCCCCGTTGCTTCCCTCCCCATCGCCAGCGGAGCGGTGTACAACTATTTGATCGGCACGGTGCCGGCGGTGGCATCGAAGCTGAACTCGCTGGACGTGCGCGGCAACTTCCTCACGGACGTGCCCACAGGAAGCTACTCCTGGTGTGGGGGCGGCGCTAACTGCCTCGTGTCGCCCGCCAAGTGTACCAACGGCATCGGCTCCACCCAGCGCCCTGCTGCAGATTGTGCCATCTGCGGCACCACCAGCGGCGTGGCCCCCTTCTGCTGGGGGGCGGAAGGAGTGTGCTCGGTGGACGCGAGTGCACGCGTCACTGCCGGCACTGTGAACGCGCCGGCACAGCCCGCGATCCCCATGGCGTGCGTGGGCAGCCCGGTTGCGGCCCTCAAGGAAAGCACAGGTAGGCAGAGAGCTGGGGGCAGGGGGTGGGGAACAGGGAGCAAGGGGCAGGGCTCAGTTGTTGTCCGCAAGGCACGTCTGTCCGTGAGTGCCTTGCTGCTAGGAGGGCAGGTGAGCAAGGCGTGTGCGAGAAGCACAGATGGCCATTGGGGTGGATGTGGGGCGGTCCAGCAGCGTTGCCTCATGAGGGCGCTGGGCCTCACACCTCAGGTCCCTTCGTCCCCCTCCATTTTCTCACGTGCTCCTTGGGCCGTCCCCCCACCTCCCATTGCCTACATTATTGCCCCTTCCCCTGCGTGCCCCTCACCAGCCATGCTCGCCCTGAAGTCTTCGCTCGGCGTCACCCTCACCACGTGGGCGGCCTCTGTGCCGTGCCAACTCGCTGGGCAGACCACCACGGCTGCAGTGTGGGGCGGCGTGCTGTGTGACAGCACTGGGAGTGTCGTCAGCATGTGAGTGGGCATACTACTGGGCACGTAAGTCGTCACCGGCATGGGGATGATTATCACTAGCGACTAACCCATTGCCCTCATATCTGACAACCATCATGCATGCGAGGAAGGAAGCCCAAGATGCACTGATTGCTCATTGCCCCACGCATGTCCTTGTGGCATATGGTGAGCATTAGAAGCAAAGCAAGGGCATTTGAAACATAAAACCGACCGCTGTGAGACTGCCATACCTACATACGTTCATATTCCCACCCACCCTTGTGTCCATTAACGCCCTGCCACCAACTGTTCACTTCAGAGATCTGAATAACGCAAAGCTCAAGGGGTCACTTGCTGCGGATGTCTCCACGCTCACAGCTCTCACCTTCCTGTGAGTTGCATCTTCTATGCCCTGGCTGTTCAGATTTACTTTGGATAAAAATGTTTTGTACAGTCATTTCTGTTTCTGTATCTTCCCTTTATTTCCCTTTTTTGCTCCATATAGTTGCCTAGTCAAGCCATGCTCCACCCAAAAAAGAGGTTCAAGCGCATGACCATGCTTCCTGCACTTCATGGCTCTACTCACCACTCCCCGCAGCAACATGCAGCAAAATCTCCTCAACTACCGCATCGATTCCTTCACCACCAACCTCCGAGCCTTGCCAGTGCTGGCCGACATGTGAGTGGCAGAGTGTGACAGGCAAGGGAGGAGGGGTGAGCGTGAGAGCAGGCAAATCCCCTCAGCTTTACACCCACTCTCATTTCTCTCTCAATCTCCCATCCTCTGTTCTACATGCTGCCACTCATTTTATCCCTGCTCCTCATCTCATCGCCGCCCTTATCGTCTCTGCTCCTCTTGCAGCCGCCTGCACTACAATTACTTATGGGGAGAAGTCCCCTCGTTTCTTGTGGGCCTTCCGAAACTCACTAATCTGTAAGTCTGATAGGAAGGCACATACCGGATGGTTCCGTGCTGCTTTTAAAATGGTGCATGCTGCCTCTCCTTGCCTTCGAGCCCTGTCTGCCCACTCCTTATGGTCGCCCTTGACGCATCCGCCCCCTCGTTGCCCTCATCCCTCGCCAGCGTGGCTTACTACAACTACTTCATTGGCACCGTGCCTGCGCTCGGCCCGTTGCTGCTCTCTCTGGACGTGAGAGGAAACTTCCTCACAGACCTGCCCTCAGCGAGCTACACGTGGTGTGGCTGCGCCGGCAACTGCATGGCCGCGGCGGCAGCGGCCGCCAAGTGCATCAGCGGCGGCTCGGGTCAGAGGCCTGCGGCTGATTGTGCCCCCTGCGGCACCACCAACGCCGTGGGCCCCTTCTGTGCGACGACAGGGGGAGTGTGCACGCTGGACGCGGCTGCACGCGTCACTGCCGGCACTGTGAACTCGCCTTCGCAGACCACGCTGCCCCTGGCGTGTGTGGGCGGGACGACTGTGGCCATCAAAGAGAGCACAGGTAGGCTGCGGGTAGGGGGCAGGGGCAGGGGAAGGTGGCAGGGGGGGGACAGGGGACAGGGGGCAGGGGGCAGGGGGCAGGGGGCAGGGGGCGGGGGGCAGGGGGCAGGGGATGGGGGGCGGGGATGGGGGGCGGGGGGTGGGGGGCAGGGGGCAGAGGGTGGGGACGGGGGCAGATGTGCATCGGTTCAGCGCTGTTGCCTCATACGGGTGTGAAACCGCTTGGGAGTGTGCTGCTCATGGCAGAATCCACAGGACCCGTGCTCCTCTTGCTCACGTGATCCTTGGAGCTTTTCTCCCCCCTCCTCCCACTGCCTGCCTTGTTGCCCCTGACCCCGCACACCCTTCACCAGCCATGCTCGCCCTCAAGTCTTCGCTCGGCGTCACCCTCACCACGTGGGTGGCCTCTGTGCCATGCCAACTTGCGGGGCAGACCACCACGGCTGCAGTGTGGAATGGCGTGCTGTGTGACAGCACTGGGAGTGTCGTGAGCATGTGAGTGGTCGTAATGGGCATGTAGATAGTCACTGGTATGGGGACGATGATCATATCTTTGCCGGTGGTTCACGCGTGTCCGTGTGGCTTGTGTGGCACCTCATAGGATTATCATGTCCAATGCGTTGCGTGCTTCCACTGCCTGCGGTGACACCCCTAAACCTTCTCCTGCCCATTCCTGCATGCAGTGTTTGTGTGCTCACCCGCCCTTGCATGTGTCCTCCAATGCTTGCTCTGCCGCCAACTGTTGTGCGCCTCAGATCTTCGCAAAACACAAAGCTCAAGGGCTCCCTTCCATCTGACATCTCGACTCTCACATCTCTCACCCTCCTGTGAGCTGCGCCTTCTATGCTCTGGCTGTTCCGCTCGGCTGCTGACAATGCTTTCCTCTCTCATATCACCTGCCATACGTTTCCTTTCTTGGTAGGGTAGAGTTGCCCAGAGCCCAGTTGATTGAGCCATGATGCATTCGGTCGGGCTTCAAGCGCAATGACCCTGTCTCACTGTCTCCTGCACCCTCCGCTCGCCCCTCCTCCACAGCAACCTGGCGCAGAATGTCTTCAACTACCGCCTCGACTCCTTCACCACCAACCTCCAATCCTTGCCAGTGCTGGCCAACCTGTGAGTGCCTGCCAGGTTGTGGCTGACAAGGGAGGGGGGGTGAGAGCAGCCGAACGATTCTGGTGTCTTGTCTCGCCTCAGCCTTTCCCGCCTCAATCTTTCAACCTTTGTTTCACATGCTGCCACTCATCTCATCGCTGTCCTCGTCGTTTCTGCCCTTGTTGCAGCGCTCTGCACTACAACTACTTATACGGAGAAGTCCCCTCGTTTCTCGTGGGCCTTCCGAAACTCACTGCGTTGTAAGTGTGATAAGGAGGCACGTTCCAAATGGCCGCGTGCTGCCTCTTAGATGCGTGCCACTTCTCCTTCCTTGCCCTCCTGCCCCGTCTGCCCACTAGTTTTAAAGGCCTTGTATGCACCTCCCTTCTTGCTGCCCTCTCGCCCCTCCCCAGCGGTGCTATCTACAACTACCTCACCGGTACCGTGCCCGCGCTCGCCTCTGGGCTGCGCTCTCTGAACGTGCGAGGAAACTTCCTCACGGACGTGCCAGCAGCCACCTACACATATTGTGGGGGCGACACCAACTGCCTGCTCACGCCCTCCAAGTGCGCCACTACTGGCACCACTCAGAGGCCCGCGGCAAACTGTGCCGTCTGCGGCACCACCAACGGCGTTGGCCCATTCTGCGCAGCGGGAGGCGTGTGCACGGTGGACGCGAGTGAAGCCGTCACTGCCGGCACTGTGAACTCGGCGTCACAGCCCGTGCTACCCCTGGTGTGCCCGGCGCCGCCCGTGCTCGTTAAAGAAAGCGCAGGTGGGCAGTGGGCAGTGGGCGGGGGGCAGTGGGCAGTGGGCGGTGGCCGGTGGGTGGTGGGCGGTGGGCAGTGGGCGGTGGGCAGTGGGCGGCTCGTGTCCCATGGCATCCTGGTACAGCGTGCGTTTACAGGGCCAGTGCAATCAGTCCGTCTCTTCACGTGCTCCTTGGGGCATCCACCCACCTCCCTCTGCCTTCCTTGCTGCCCCTTTCCTCGCATGCCCCTCACCAGCCATGCTCGCCATCAAGGCCGAGCTTGGCCTCTCCTACACCACGTGGGCGGCCACTGTGCCGTGCCAACTCGCAGGGCAGACCACCACGGCGAAAGTCTGGGGCGGCGTGCTCTGTGACAGCACTGGGAGGGTCGTGAGCATGTGAGTGGGCATATTGGGCATGTGAGTGGGCATATTGGGCATGTGGGTCGGCATAGTGGGCATGTGGGTCGGCGTATTGTGCATGTGGGTCGGCATATTGTGCATGTGGGTCGGCATATTGTGCATGTGGGTCGGCATATTGTGCATGTGGGTCGGCATATTGTGCATGTGGGTCGGCATATTGTGCATGTGGGTCGGCATATTGTGCATGTGGGTCGGCATATTGTGCATGTGGGTCGGCATATTGTGCATGTGGGTCGGCATATTGTGCATGTGGGTCGGCATATTGTGCATGTGGGTCGGCATATTGTGCATGTGGGTCGGCATATTGTGCATGTGGGTCGGCATATTGTGCATGTGGGTCGGCATATTGTGCATGTGGGTCGGCATATTGTGCATGTGGGTCGGCATATTGTGCATGTGGGTCGGCATATTGTGCATGTGGGTCGGCATATTGTGCATGTGGGTCGGCATATTGTGCATGTGGGTCGGCATATTGTGCATGTGGGTCGGCATATTGTGCATGTGGGTCGGCATATTGTGCATGTGGGTCGGCATATTGTGCATGTGGGTCGGCATATTGTGCATGTGGGTCGGCATATTGTGCATGTGGGTCGGCATATTGTGCATGTGGGTCGGCATATTGTGCATGTGGGTCGGCATATTGTGCATGTGGGTCGGCATATTGTGCATGTGGGTCGGCATATTGTGCATGTGGGTCGGCATATTGTGCATGTGGGTCGGCATATTGTGCATGTGGGTCGGCATATTGTGCATGTGGGTCGGCATATTGTGCATGTGGGTCGGCATATTGTGCATGTGGGTCGGCATATTGTGCATGTGGGTCGGCATATTGTGCATGTGGGTCGGCATATTGTGCACGTGCGTTGTTTCCAGCATGGGAATGGTCACCACTCGCGAGGAAATATTGTGAGCATATCTGCCAACGTGCATGCGAGAAAGGCCTTGTATCACAGCGCAAGAAGAAGACTACTTTTACACATGGCAGTGTGCAAGTCTGTGAGGCACGTGAGTGAGCATGAGCAAGGGCATGTGAGGCAGCTTGTCAATCACATGTATTATCTGTCCACGCTGATACCCTTTCCATATCATGCCTGCCGTAAATCAGCATGCCGTTCTCACCTGCCCACCCACCCTTGTGTGTGTCCACCAACCGTTCGCCATCAACCATGCCGTGAGCACATCAGAGCTCTGGAGAATACAACAAATCTCTACGGCTCGCTTCCCATGGAGGTCTCCACACTCACTGCCCTCACCTACCTGTGAGTTGCCTCTGCTGTGCTCTCGTTGTTCTCACTGGCTTTCTCATGCGAATGCTTTCCGCTCTCCTATTGGCTGCTTCACCTTTCCTATCTCGGCATCATGCAATGCATGCCCCCAATCCATAGCGTGGCCTAGTCGCCATGCCGCAGTGCACTCAGTCAAGGTGCTCTGGCAATGACCTCCTTCCCTCTCTGCTCGCCGCTCGCAGCAACCTGCAGGGCAATCTCTTGAGATACCGCATCGATTCCTTCACCACTTATCTTCGCTTCTTGCCACTGGCCGACATGTGAGTGCTGCTGGCCGACAGGTGAGTGCAAGAGTGTGGCCGGCAAGGGAGGGGGGGGGGAAGCAGGCAAGCTGGTTTCTTGTGCTGCCGAAATTTTCCACCCACTCCCGTTTCTCTCTCAATCTTCCACCCTCCTTTCCAAATGCTGCCACTCATCTATCTGTAACCTCTCATCTCATCTCCTCGCTGCCCTCATCATCTCTGCTCCTATCGCAGCCGCCTGCATTACAACTATTTATACGGAGAAATCCCCTCGTTCCTCATGAACCTCCCAAAGCTGACTCAGTTGTAAGTCTGACATGAAGGCTCGTGCGGGGTGGTTGCATGGTGGTTCCACAGATGCATGGCTCTTGTATATCCTTCATCTTTCCAGAGTTGTTTCTGCCTACTCTTTATGCATCCCTTAATGCATCTGCCCGCTCTCTGCCCTCCCCCCTCCGCAGCGGTATGGTCTACAACTACCTCATCGGCACCGTGCCTGCGCTCGCCTCTCAGCTGCGCTCTCTGGACGTGCGAGGAAATTTCCTCACGGACGTGCCAGCAATCAACTACACGTTCTGCGGCTGCGCGGGGAACTGCATGGTCACGCCCTCCAAGTGCATCAGCGGCGGCACTGTTCAGCGGCCTGCGGCGCAGTGTGCCATCTGCGGCACCACAAATGGCGTGGGCCCCTTCTGCTGGGGGGCGGGGGGCGAGTGTGTGGCGGATGTGATGGCGCTGTGGGATGTGGGCGCTGTCAACTCGCCCACGCGGCCCGTGCAGCCCAGTGTGTGCATGGGCGGGTCCGTGCAGGCCATGGTGAATAGCGCAGGTGAGCCGTGGCCACTGCACTGGACTGGGCAGTACACACCTCTTGTGCCCATGGCCTGGCGGTGCCTGCCTTGTCGCAACCACCTCTCACTCACATGTGATTCTCACCACTTGTGCTTCGCCTGCCCTGCTGCTTCATGCTGTGCTGTACCTAGTCTGTTGCCATAACTCGCTGCCCTTAGCTTGTCTAGTCCGCCCAGCCACCCATTTATCTTCCTGTTCCCCCCCATCCACCCACCGTCCCCACCAGCCATGCTGGCGATCAAGTCGTCGCTGGGCGTGACGCTCAACAGCTGGGCGGCATCTGTGCCGTGCTCCGTGTGGGCGGTGTCACCGTCGGTGCCCACGTGGTCCAACGTCATATGCGACGGCGAAGGCAACGTTGTCAGGATGTGAGTGTCACACATGGGTGGTGGGGTGGGCGGTGGTGGGAGCTCATACTGGGACTGGCAGCGTCAGCTGGGCACCAAGGGAGTGGAAGCAGTTGGGCATGTGGGAAAGCATGTGATGGGTTCCTGCGCAACCTCGCAAGGCCTAACTGCGGCTCACTCTCCCTACCTGCCGTTTCTGCATGGCAGCAATATGAGCAACACGGGGCTCACGGGAAGCATCCCAGCCGACATCTCAAAGCTTGAGTACCTCACTTACTTGTGAGTGCATTTCACGCTAACCCCCTCAGCCATACCCTGCAGCAGCTGTAAGCTAGCATTGCTCATGGTAGCACTTTCTTCTAACAGAGAGCACCTCATCCCGCACCTACCTGTAATTGCATTTCACCCCGCACCTACCTGTGATTGCATTTCACCCCGCACCTACCTGTGATTGCATCTCACCCCGCACCTACCTGTGATTGCATCTCACCCCGCACCTACCTGTGATTGCATCTCACCCCGCACCTACCTGTGCCTACCCCCAGCAGTTCGTGGCTACCCGAGCATCTCTGCACCCCTGCATCAAAGCTCCTGTATTGGCCGCCATCTGAATAACAACCCTTCCACTGCTACTAACCTGCCATCGACCAATTCGCCTCAGAATATGTTCCCGCCCTCCCTTGTCTGTCGCCCCCTCACTTTCCTGTGCTCCCCCACCCCGTGTTCTCCCCCTCGGCTTGCTGCCTGCACCCCTTCTGCAGGTCGCTCTCGAAGCAGCTCTTCCAGGCATCCCTTTCCACTTTCACCGCCAACCTCCTTGGAGCCACCATGCTCAATGAGCTGTGAGTCATATTTGACACTTGCCAGTATTCACCAACCTCAGGTCTCCGGCCTGTGCTTTGCTTGAGTTGCGATGCTGCCTCCCGTGCTCCCTCCGTCTCTTCTTCCCCATCCTCCCCTCCTGCACCTTGCCCTCCCCATCCTGTCCCCGTGGGACCATTCTGCCTTTCTCTTCCACTCCGCCTCACACACCTCCTGCTCGTCCCGTGCTGCCTCTTGCCCACCCCCCACTGCCCTGCTGCTTCCCTCCCCACAGCCAGCTGCAGTACAACTGGCTCTATGGCTCCGTGCCAACCTCGCTCTTCACCCTGAAATTGCTTTCCGTGCTGTGAGCCCCCTCTCACATTCCTCACTCGCTCCCATACTTGTCCGTGCACACCGCTTTAGAAGTTGCCGCTGCCTTCCCTGCCCCACATTTTCTCACATTCACGCACATCTGCCCATCTCGAGTCTCATCTCCTCCCATCTCAACACCGCTCACGGATCCCCAATCCCGCTGCCCATTGCGCATCCTGCAGTGACCTGAGCTACAACTACCTCACCGGCAGCTTCCCAGCGACGACCTCTCTGGCAAGTCTGGACATCCGCAGCAACTTCTTCTACGCCGTGGGTTCCATGACCCTGCAGTCCTGCGCCGCCCTCTCCAACTGCCTCGCCACTCCTGCCTCCTGCAGTTCGGCCGGCACCACCCAGCGCCCCACAGCAGACTGCGCCATCTGCGGCTCCACCAATGGGCAGCCGCCCTTCTGTGGCGGCACCGGCACGTGCTCGCCTGACTCTGGCCCAGCGGCCGCGCAGGGCACGCCCAACCTGGCGGGCTCGCCCCTGCTGCCCATGGTGTGCAGTGGCATCGCCATCGACGCTGCTGATGGTGAGTGCATGCACCCACACCCAGACAAGCACCCGCGCATCCACAAGCACTTGCCTCCTCACACGCGCTCTACCTGTACCCTGCTAACTTCTCACCCGCTCTTGCGTCCTTCAATGCCACGCCTGCTGTCAATCCCTAAACCCTTTTGTTCCCCCTTCCGCTCCCCTCTTCCCCCCTTGCCGCACCAGCTACGGTGCTGCTGGCGCTCAAGTCGTCGCTGGGCGTGACACTCAACAACTGGAACGCGGCAGCGCTGTGCACGTTGGAGGGGCAGACGCTGCTGCCCGCGCAGTGGGGCGGCGTGCGCTGTACTGGTGCAGGCAAAGTGACAAGCATGTGAGTACGGGGAGGGTAGGTGAGGGGGTTGCTGCTGGTGTTGCTCTTGCCTCTCCCTATCCTATACCCCCCCCATTCCCCTTCTGCCTCCCGTTCATCTACGGTCTGCCAATCATGCACCGCCTCTCACCCTGACACCACGCTCACATGAGCATGGCCCTCACTTTCCCTGGGTTAATCATGCCAATCCCATTTAACCTATCTTAATCATGCAGTACGCTGAAACGGCAGCAGCTGAAGGGCTCCATTCATCCCGACATCTCCAAGCTCACCACACTCACTTACCTGTAAGCCCACCGCACCACACTCACTTACCTGTGAGCCCACCGCACCACACTCACTTACCTGTAAGCCCACCGCACCACACTCACTTACCTGTAAGCCCACCGCACCACGCTCACTTACCTGTAAGCCCACCGCACCACAATCACTTACCTGTAAGCCCACTGCACCACACTCACTTACCTGTAAGCCCACGGCACCACACTCAAATGCCACCTTCACCTGTCAGTGAGGGATGTCTTTTTGTGAGGCTAGGACCAATCTGCACTGCTCTCTCACCCCCTCTCTACCGCAGTGACTTGGGCTACAACCTCTTCCAGGGCCGTCTGGATATCTTTGCCAACCCGCTCAAGCCCCTCTCCACCCTCAAGGCGCTGTGAGTCCCTCTCCACCCTCAACGCGCTGTGAGTCCGGCCCCCCTTCCACCACGTCCACCTGCTTCCTTTTCTCCCCACCCGTGACTCATGACGCTGTTGCGTGCTGTAGTGCGCTGTAAGGCCGCCCCTTGTCCTCTCTTCACTCGTGACGCTGCACAGTGCGCGCTGCCGGTCCACCCTGGCACATGCTGCAGCAGATGGTCGCCACACTTGCTCATATCGTGTCACTCCTCGCGCACCCCATGTTTGCACCATGTTAGCATGTCACTTATTTTCTTATGTCCCTTCGCCCCCCCACCCTCGCCTTTGCCCCTCCCCTCCTCCATCGCAGCTTCTTCCACTACAACTATTTCGCCGGCCCAATTCCGTCCGCCATCGCCACGCTGCCGGCTCTCACCTCACTGTAAGCCAAGCATGCTGCATGGCTGCCCTCCACTCACAACAACATCCATTCCCCTACGTATCCACCACTTCCCACCTCCACTCCCCCCCCCCCCCCCCCCCTTCCCCTCACCATCTTCTCCCCTACCTTTTCCCTCTCTCTCTCTCTCTTCCTCCCCCCTGTAGAGGCCTTTTCTCCAACTACCTCACAGGCACCGTGCCCATCCCCTCCAAGTCCCTGCTCGCCCTAGACGTGGGCTTTAACTTCCTCTCGGGAGTCTTCCCGACTCTGCCGCTCATGTTCTGTGCGGGCGAAAACAACTGCTTTGTCAACTCCACCAACTGCCGCACCTACGGTAGTGTGCAGCGCCCTGCCGGCGCCTGCGCCATCTGTGGCACCGCTGCCGGCCAGGGCGACCTCTGCTTCGGCGGCTCCTGCGCTCCCAGCGCCACGGCTGCCATCACCGCCGGCACTGTCAACTCGCCCAATCAGCCCATCCTGCCCATGGCATGTGCAGGTCAGTGTGTGCCGCACACGGCTGGATGTGTGTCACATCCTTTTCCTTTGTCTGACATTCTTCCCTTTCGCACAGGTTTAAACATTCACATCACTCTGCCTATCGCTCCTCCTCCTGCTCCCGCCTCTTTGACCCTCCTCATGCCTCCTGCCATGTCTCACCTCACCCTCTCCCTCTCTCCCCTTCTTCCTAACTCTCCCGTTGCAGACAATTCGGCTGCGCCAATGGATACTGGCTCAGGTGCGTTCACATGCCGTGCCGCCATGCACACATGCACATGTGAATTCTGAGCCTTCATGCTTCGTGTCGCTCATCCTTCACTCCCATGCACGTATACCCCTTTCTTCTCATCTGCCAACCTCCTCGCTTCGCAACTCTCCTGCGCCCAACCCCTTTCCAATTTCCATCGCTCTCACTCTCACTTTCATGTCACCTACATCCCGCCCACAGCGGTGGCGCTGTTGAACGTGAAGGCAGCGTTGGGAGTGACGTTCACCAGCTGGCTGGCTGCATCGCCCTGCGCCATCGCCAACTCCTCCATCACCGTCGCCGGCACCTGGACTGGCGTGCTCTGCTCCTCTGCTGGCGACGTCCTCAGCATGTCAGTTCCCCCTGCCCCTGCATGCCACATCTCGTATTCCACTGCAGTATTCAATGCCGTCTTCCGTGTACGTCACGCCTCCTTTCTCCCTCGCTCCCCTTCCTCCCCTTTTTTCCTCTCTCCCCTCCCTCCCCCCATCCCACTGTGAGCAGCAACCTCTCCTCCTCCGCCCTGGGTGGCACCATGCACGCCGACATCTCCAAGCTCACCGCCCTCACCTACCTGTCAGTGCCCTCACCTACCTGTCAGTGCCCTCACCTATCTGTCAGTGCCCTCACCTACCTGTCAGTGCCCTCAACCCCCCTCGCTCGCTGCTTCTTCCAACGCCTTCAACGTGTTGTCTCTTACCCTAAAACCCCCTCACCCACTTTCCTCTCTGCCTGCTTGCCTCTCACATGCGCCACTTCAAAGGGTCCCTCTATGCCTCAGCTCTGCCTGCTCCTTGTCTCAATCGCCCACCCGCTCCCGTTTCCACTTGCTCCTCCAATGTCCTTACCCCCCTGTGCGTGCTCTGTGTGGCGCCTATCCCCCCCGCCCCTGCAGCGACCTGTCGAAGAACGTGCTGCGCGCCAGCCTGGCGAGCTTCGTCTCATCCTTCTCCAGCCTCCAGGCGCTCCAGCAGCTGTCAGTGCCACAGCCCTGATCCTCCATGTTCCCCCACTCGTGTTGCCCTCACTTCACCCATGTTGTGCCCCCACTCATGCTGTGCCCTTACTCGGACTGCTCCAGCACACACCACCATGTGTGAGCCTGCCTGCACACAGCCTCGCACTGCACGCCACCGTGCTCCTTCAGCACGTGCACTGCATTCAACTCCACATATTCACTTGCATCCGTTTCCCCTTCCTTGTCTCCCCCCAGGCGTCTCAACAACAACTGGTTCGCAGGCTCCCTGCCTCAGACTCTCATGTCTCTTCCGGCACTCACTCTGCTGTAAGGATGATCTGGATAAGCATTGGCTTCCACCATCACTCGAACATGTGCTACTGCGCGCGTACGCACTCGCCATAACCAGAGTGTGCAGAAGACATGCTTCCATCAACAATCCAGCCCCCCTCTCTCCCGCTGACCCCGCTCCCCTAGCATGGTCGCCACGCCACCACTCATTCATCTCTTCTTGCCTCTTTCTCCCCCCTCTTTCTCCCCCCTCTTTCTCCCCCCTCTTTCTCCCCCCTCTTTCTCCCCCCTCTTTCTCCCCCCTCTTTCTCCCCCCTCTTTCTCCCCCCTCTTTCTCCCCCCTCTTCCTCACCCTTCCTGGCACGGCAGGGATGTGCATGCAAACGCACTGACAGGGTCGCTGCCCGCCATATCATCGGTGCTGCGCTCGCTCCTCCTGCACGACAACTTCCTTGCTGGCAGCTTCACAGCGGCCGCCCTCACCGCGTGCGACGCCAGCCTCAATTGCATGACCAGCGCCGCCGCCTGCAGCTCCACCAGCACCACGCAGAGGGCCGCTGCTGCCTGTGCCATCTGCGACAGCGCAGCGGCGCAAGGGCTGCTGTGCTGGGGCGGCACGTGCCTGCCCAACGTCACCGACACCGCCGCCCACCCTGACGGGCTGGCCCCGCCGCCCATGTACTGCTCTGGTGCGTCTCTGCCTGCCCTTCTCCTTGCGCGGTGGGGGCGCTCGTGCTGCTCCCCAGCGTTTCCTCCTCGCCCCTGATGCCCCCCACTCGCTCTGCTCTCTGCCTCCTGCTGGCTCGCTCCCTCACTCTCCCCTCCTTTTGGCCCAATGCCCCTGAATGCCCCTAAATGCCCCTGAATGCCTCTGAATGCCTCTGAATGCCTCTGAATGCCTCTGAATGCCTCTGAATGCCTTTGAATGCCTCTGAATGCCTCTGAATGCATCTGAATACATCTGAATGCCTCTGGATGCCTCTGAATGCCTCGGAATGCCTCTGAATGCCTGCTGCAGGATCTCCTGTGGTCACCATCAGCAACGTTGATGGTGAGTGCCTCGACGCTGAGCGCCATGCTGCCTGCGCTTCCGCTTTCTCTACCCATGCCACTCCTTCCCTGCATTTCACACTCCTGTCGTTTACTGTGTGCATTTCCCTTCCATTCGCCATGTGCGATGTCGTCGCACATGGTGGTGGCGTTCCTCATCCAGCAGTCTCTGCCCCTCCATGCACCACCTCACCTCCCCCAACGCCATTTGCCACCCTCACTCTTCACTCCCGCGCTTCCCCTCCCCCCCCCCCCCCCCATTTCCTCCCTTCCCCTCCCTCCTTTCCTTCTCTCCCCCGATTACCACGATGCATGGCAGCGGTAGCGCTGGCGGCGCTGAAGGCTGCGATCGGGGTGAGCTTCACCACGTGGGCGCCCACCACCTTCTGCACCGTGGCGCCCACCACGCCCATCACCGGCACGTGGGACGGCGTGCTCTGCAACTCCGCCGGCAGAGTCGTCAGCCTGTCAGTCCGCCTGCACTGCCCTCTTCTCCCTCGCCTCTGCACTGCTCTCTGCTCGCCTGCCCTTGCTCTGCGTGCCACTTCTCTCTGGATGCTCTTGCTCTGCCCAACTTCCACTGCCACTGCCCTCTGCTCACTCATTTTGTTTTCTGCATGCTGCATGTCCATGGTGTGTCTTCTCCTTGTCTTGGGCTCATTGCTCTCATGCACCCCCTCTTATCACTCCCATCCCTTGTGTGTGGCACGCCTTCCTTCCGCGTCCACCAGGCTACTCCCCAACAGCAAGCTCACAGGCACTCTGCCACTCGTTGTCTCCACCCTCACCGCGCTCACTGCCATGTGAGCCGCCTCGCTGCCTGCCGCCTGCTGCCTCCCTGCCCGTTGCTTCCATGCTCTCCTGCTTGCATTCCTGCCCACTGTCTCTTGACTTCTCAGATCGGACTCTGTAGCCCGCCCTTGCTTGCCATTGGTTGTCCACTTCTGCACTAGATCTAGTTCGTCACGAAAACAAAAGTGTGCCCGACCACTTGTGTCCCCCACTCTCCTCGTTCACTCCTCTCCGCTCCCCTCCTCACTCTCTCTCCTCTCTGTCCCTCTCCTCATTCTCTCTCCTCGCTGCCCCTCGCCTCATTCTCTCCCCTCTCTGCCCCTTGCCTCACTCTCTCTCCTCAATCCCGCTGCCCCTCCCCCCAGCGACCTCACCTCCAACCTCCTCCTGGGCCGCCTGGACGAAGTTGCCACGCAGCTGCGCCTGCTCACCAACCTCAAATCCATGTGCGTCGCCATAGCTGCTGCTGCTGCTGGTGCATGAAGCTGTGGCAATCATGGCGCCCCTCTGTGCATCTTTCCAACCCAAGCATAGATCCGCCTCGCGTGGGCAGCGCAGGCGGGCTGTACGGCATGCATGTGCTCATGCGTCCAACTCTCCTTGCTTTTGTTCCGCTATATCCTTCCCTGTGTCTTCAAGTTCCGCCTCTCTCTGTGTCTCCGCTTTTGTTCCCCCACGCCCCATGCTCACAGCGACCTCTCTTACAACTGGCTCTCCGGCTCTGTGCCTGCGTTCATGTTCACTCTCCCCAGCCTCACGAAAATGTAAGTCCCACCTCCCAACTCCGCCGCCCCTTCCACTCACCTGCAATGCTTCTTCTTGTGCCTCTCTTTGGCGCTCTGCCCCCTCCGCAACACCTTGCGATTCTTTTCCTCCATCATGACCTCACCTCCATCCTCCACCCATAACACTGGCTCATCCATGGGCAATTGCCTCCCCGCCCCACCGTGCCCTCCTCTGCCCCACAGCACTCTAGGCTACAACTACCTGACGGGCGCGCTGCCCCCGGTGACATCCCCGCTCGCAGTGGTGGACGTGCAGTTCAACTTCCTGGGCGGCACCTTCCCCGCGCTCACGCTCTCCCGCTGCGCCGCGCGCATGAACTGCTTCCTCGACGCCTCCAAGTGCAACTACCCCAACCGCGCCGCCGAGCTCCCTCGGGCTCCTGCGGCATGTGCCATCTGCAACACCACCAACGCGCAGGGCCGCCTGTGCAGCGGCGGGCTGTGCACCGTCAACGCCACGGACCTCGTGGCACTCGGTGCGCCCAACAGTGCTGCATCGCCCACACTGCCGCTCATCTGCGTGGGAGCGGCGTTTGTGGCGATGGACTCGGTGCATGCAGCAGCCATGCTGAACCTCAAGGCGTCGCTGGGAGTGACCTTCACTGAATGGAAGGCCGACTCGCCCTGCTCCCTGCCCGATGCCGTCGCCCCCGGGTCATGGAGTGGGGTAGCCTGCGACGCCACTGGCAAAGTGCTCAGCATGTGAGTGTGCAGAAATAGTTCCAGTTCGCTAACCAACTGGGAGAACAGTTAGGGTCATCCCAGTGCCCTCTTTCAACACTCTTCTCACTAGGAACGCCCACCACTAGGACACAGGAAGCCTGCTGACACCAGGATTCAAGCACAGGTCCCTCGCGCACATCGGTCCACGCTTACCGCACCATGCAGGGATAGCTCCAATTTGCTAACCAGCTGGGACAGAAGGGCCTGTTTGTGTGGTGGGCAGGCACACCCATACCTCCCAGGATGGCACATATAGCCCCTGCAGAGACCCACCTTTGGCGTTTTGCTTTTCTAGAACTCATATTGCTCAAGTCATCACGTTCGCTCGATGCACTCTCCATGCTGCCGTGCTTGTTGAGCCAAATCTGCAGAGTGCTGGGTTCCCAGAAGCTGGCGGGCAGCATCCACTCCGACATCTCCAAGCTCACCACGCTCACCTTGCTGTCAGTCCTCACGCCCTCCTCTCTCCGCCTCTCACTCTCACCTACCTGCACTTCAATTCTGATATTCCCTGCGCATCCGTTTCTTGAGGCGCCTCAAACGCGCTCTGCGTTCCTGATATTCAACACGTCCGCAACTCAAGATGCCAGTCTGCGTTATGCTGAATCGTTTCTTGTGTGCTCGCCTTCCATGGCTGCGCCCTGCAGTGACCTGCAGTCCAACCTGCTGCAGGGGCGGCTGGACTCCTTCACAGCCAGCATCAAGACGCCCCTCGTGCTCAAGGAGCTGTGAGTCACCAATTCCCGCTAACGCTCTCTGCATGCACCCACCCATGCACCCATCCCTGCAACCATGCACCCACCCATGCACCCACCCATGCATGCACCCACCCATGCACCCACACATGCATGCACCCACCCATGCACCCACCCATGCATGCAGCCAACCATGCACCCACACATGCATGCAGCCATCCATGCACCCACCCATAAATGCAGCCATTTGTGGGTATATTTGACCATGCTCAACTCTGCCCTGCACAGCAAAATCACCATTCGCCCGTTCCTCCTGACCCCCTAACCATTCTTTCCTCTCCCTCCACCCTTCCCCTCCCATGGCCTGTGCTGCGCATGCCTGCAGCGCTCTGCAGTTCAACTACCTTGTTGGTCCGTTCCCCTCCACGCTGCTCGCCCTCTCCACTCTCTCCAAGCTGTGAGTGCTCTGCACCACCCCGCCTTCCACTCTCGCACGTCACCCACACCGTTGCTACTCTCCAATCGCACACCATCTCTCCAGTCGCACAGCATCTCTCACACATTCCCTCATTCTCCCTCCGCACCTGCTCCTGCCTTCCCCCACCTTGTCTCCCCCCCGCTCTCCTTCCCACTTCCCCAAATTCCCAACCACACCCCCCCCCCCCCCCCCCCCCCCAAACCCCCCACCTTCCCAGCTCCGTGGGCTACAACTACCTCACGGGCCCCTTTCCCACCGTGCCAGCATCCGCCAAGTCGCTGGACGTGCAGGGCAACTTCCTGTCGGGTTCCTTCCCCACCAACGCGCTCACCTACTGCGCCGCCACCACCAACTGCCTCACCGACGCCAACAACTGCGCGTCTATTGGCATCACACAGCGCACCCCCTCGGAATGTGCCATCTGTGGCACCAGCTTTGGCCAGGGCACGCTGTGCGGGGGTGTCACCTGCCTTGTCAACACCACCGGCGTCACGGCGCCTCCCACCGCCACATCTCTCCCTCGCAACCTCTACTGCACGCCGGTTGCACTGGACACCAACACCAGTGAGTGCTGCTTGCTCCTTCTCGCATGCCCCTCTCCTGCTCCCTTTCCCAATCTTACCTTCGCCCTGCACCCCTCCTCTCGCCCTAAACCCACCACCACCCCATTCCCTCTCCTCCCACGTGCAGCCACGACGCTGCTGGCGCTGAAGACGGTGCTGGGAGTGACGGCCACGGACTGGAGTGCAACGACGGTGGCACTGAAGCCCAAGGCGCTGAAGAGCAGCAGCGTGCCCCTCGCCACCATGGTGGGCGCCTGCACCATCGAGGGGCAGACCCCTGCTCCCGGCTCGTGGACCGGCGTCTTCTGCAACTCCGCTGGTGCCATCGTCGCCCTGTGAGTGCCCGCCTGCTGTGCTGTGCGCCCCTGTGCGCCTCTGCAGCTCCACTGCGCGTCACATGTGGCGCACTGGTGCGTGGAGCAGCCCGTCCGTGGGCACCCACAGGCATGCCGGCCTTCCTCTTCCCTCCCCAATGCCGTCTCCCGTCATCCAGCCCTCCTGCCCGCATATTCACCCGTGTTCCTCCGTCGTTCCCTCTTTCTGTGTCCCTTCTCTCCCCTCTCTTCTCGTCCACTGCTCCTGCAGGGTGATGCCCAACCAGAAGCTCACTGGAAGCCTGTCGGCGGACATCAGCAAGCTCACAGCTCTCACCGCGCTGTGCGTCACTCAGCTCTTGCACGCCCTTGCACGCCCTTGCACGCCCTTGCATGCCCTTGCACGCCTTTGCACGCTCTTTGACCAGCATAGTTCACCCTCACTGGTGCTATATCCTCACTGCTGCGTGTATGTGCATGTGCATGCATGTGATTCCCATACCTACCTACGTGGCATGGCACACATGCAGGGATCTGAGCGCCAATCTCTTCCAGCGGGGCCTTGATGCGTTCGTGGCGCCTCTCACCGCTGTCAAGACACTCAAGTCGCTGTAAGTGCTGCTGCACCACCACCACCACCATCTCCGCCCCCACCACCGCCATCACCAGCACCACCACCACCACCGTTCCACGGTCTGCACCCACCCAGTCACCTCAGAGCACCATCTATCGCCGCCCTCTCCCCCTCACTCCATGCTCATCCGTCCGCCCCGCCCCTCACAGCTCGCTGCAGTACAACTGGTTCTCCAGCTCCATCCCCTCCGCCCTCCTCGCCCTGCCAGCCCTCTCCAGCATGTGAGTGCCTCTCGCCACCTGCTCTCTGCGTGCCCCCTCCTGGTGGACCCCTTCTTCGCCCACATATTTTCTTCTCCCACCTTTCCTCTCCCAGCACCCATCACTCACCACTCATCATTGCTTAAATATTGCCATTTCTCGTCCCCCCATCCTCCCTGCACCCCCTCTCCCCTCCCCATGGCTGCGCGCAGCAAGCTGAACCGCAACTACCTGACGGGGGTGGTGCCAGCCGTGGGGGCAGCGGTGAAGGCGCTCAACGTGGCGGGCAACTTCCTCTCGGGCTCCTTCCCCACCACCGGCCTCACGGCGTGCGATGCGCGCTCCAACTGCTTCACAGACGCCTCCAAGTGCACCAACACGCTCGGCACCGCACAGAGGGCCGCTACAGAATGCAACATCTGTGGCACCACGGGGGCTGTCGGCCCGTTCTGCGGCGGCGGCTTCTGCATCCCCAACGCCGCCGCGCCCGCCGCTGCCGGCACGCCCAACACGGAGGGGCAAGCGGTGCTGGCGATGTCGTGCGTGGGTGGCCCCATCGAGGTCACCATGCGCGGCGTCATGCTCAACCTCAAGGCGTCGCTGGGGGTGACTCTGACGGACTGGGTGGGCACGGCTCCGTGCAACATCGCGGGGCAGGCCCCCGTGGCGGGGTCGTGGTCCGGCGTGGAGTGTGACTCGGCTGCCAAGGTCACCAGCATGTGAGTCGCAGGTCTAGCTTTGGCCTCGCTGCTAAGCAGTCTGCATCGCCTCTGTCTTGTGTAACTCGCCAATGCTTCCCTTTCCTTCCCATTGCCTCGCTGCCTTCTCACCTCACTCCCCTGCTTGCCTGTGCTTCTCTGCAGCAACCTCACGAATCAAGGGCTCAAGGGCAGCTTGCCTTCTGACATCTACAAGCTCACCACTCTCACCTCGCTGTAAGCCCCCAACTGCACCTGCTCTCCCAACTCCACCTGTGGCCGTACTGCCGCCCCTCAGTCTTGTTGCCACTCACACGCTCTTCTTCACCACCGCCCCTTTCTTCCTCTCCTCTCCTCCGCGCCCCCCTGCGTGCGTGCAGCGTGCTGGACAGCAACCTGCTGCAGGGCCGCCTGCCCTACTTCACCACCAACTTCAGAAACCTCGTGGCACTCAAGCGCTTGTCAGTCGCTTCTGCTCCCTGCCTGCCCGCTGTCCATGCCATGGCCCCTGTCGCATGCTCACATGTGACGGTGGTGCGTTTTATCCCTGTGCTCTCTGCTCTTCCAGATTGTGTGCCCTCACTTTGTGTGGTGCTGCGTGCCTTGCCCTCACTGCTCGTACCCACCCTGCCGCCCCCCCGTGCCTGCCCGTCTGCAGCAAGGCTCGCTTCAACTTCTTCTCGGGCACGATGCCCACCCAAACGCTGCTCTGGCTGCCCTTCCTCACCCACCTGTACCGCCTTCATCCCTCCTCATCCCCCACTGCCTGCCCACCTTTTGTTACAAGCTGCCTGCTCCTTGCCTCTTTTTCCCCTGTACCTATCCTCTGCTTGCCTCGTGCACCCACCCTGATGCCTTGCTGTGCTACAAGACCCACCACCCAGCCTCTCACGTCCTTGTGTCTCTCGCTCCACCTGCCCGTGTGCTGCTGTGCCGTCCTCCCAGTGACATGAGCTACAACTACCTCACAGGTCCCCTGCCCAGCGCCATAGGCACGGCGCTCAAGACGCTGGAAATTGGAGGCAACTTCCTGTCGGGCGCCATCGGCAACTTCCCCGGCGTGGCGTGCTCGGCTGCGCTCAACTGCCTGACCTCCCAGGGCAGCTGCACCACCGGCGGCGTTCAAAACCGTGCCGGCTGTAACATCTGCGGCAGCGCTGACGCCCAGGGCACTCTGTGCGGCGGCGGGCTGTGCGTGCCCAACGCCACAGCGGCTGTGGTGGCGGGACAGACCCCCACGCTGTCCACGCCCGTCATGCCCATGTACTGCACGGGGGTCATCATGAACACCGTCGCAGGTGATGCGCTGCTGCACACCTGCCATGCTGCCATCACCCTCCCAACCCCCCCCCTTCTCTCTCTCTCTGGCCACTCTCTCACTCATTCCTCTCCCCGTGTTTTTTGCTCCTTTCTGCGACTCCCTCCCCTCCATGGCCTCCATCTCTTGCGCGGCGCCAGTCGCGGCGCTACTCAACATAAAGACGGCGTTGGGAGTGACCTTATCGGACTGGACGGCCCCCACGACGCTGCTCAAGCCCAAGGCTGCGGCGGGCAGTGGCAGTGTGGCACTGACGGACTGGCTGACCACGGGTGGCTACTGCACAGTGGAGGGGCAGACGGCCGCTCCTGGTGCCTTTTCCGGCGTGCGCTGCAATGCCCTCGGCCAGCCTGTCAGCCTGTCAGTGCTCCTCTTGCACCTGTGCCCTCTTCTGCATCCCTCTTGCAAACCTGCTGCATCTGTTATTGGGGGAATAGTAACACGCAGTGCCGTGCCAGCAATGAGTCATCCGAGTTAACCACGGCAGCACCTTCCTTCCCACCGTGTGCTCCCTCCCCCTTCCCCACACCGGCAGGAATCTGCCGTTCCAGAAGCTGACTGGCTCTCTCCACGCTGACCTCAGCAAGCTCTCTGCACTGACCGTGCTGTGAGTGCTGCCCACACACACACTTCCTTATGCTGCGAGTGCTACCCACACACACACACACTTGTGCTGTGAGCGCTTCCGATTTACTGTGTATGGATTCCGGTTGCGGGCAGCAAGGCCGTGACTGCACTGCACTGCACCCATGCGCGTGTGCTGTTGTGCCGTCACCGCAGGGAGCTGAGTTACAACTTTCTCAGAGCACCCGTCGAGCCTTGGGCCTCGGCCATCAAGCTGCTCACCAACCTGCTATCGCTGTGAGTGTTAACCTTCTCTTGCTGTGAGTGTTAACCTTCTCTTGCTGTGAGTGCCTTGCTAATTTGCAATCATCTCTGTCCTCGTCTCCCTCTTCATCCTCCTCCATTCTTCCCCCCCGCCCGCAGCAAGCTCAGCAACAACTATCTCTACGGCTCTGTGCCCCTCTGGCTCGTCTCTTTCGCCAAGCTCACCAACCTGTCAGTGGCCCACCCTCTCCGGTCTTTTTAACTGCTCAGGCCTATCTCACCAGTCCCTTGCGCACTTGTTACTGCCCTGCCCATTCAACCCATGCCCCTGCTCATGTCTCCACTTACCTCACCGCCATTGCCTTCGCCCCCTACGTGAACACCTTCCCCATGCCCCTGCTCCTGTGCCTTTTCTGCTTGTTCCTTCACCTCTCCTTCTCCCCCTTCATCCTCCCTCTCCTCTCTTCCCCCCCTCCCCCCCCCACTTCCCCTCCTCCCTCCATTCTTCCCCCCGAATGCAGCGAGCTGAGCGTGAACGCTCTCACAGGCACGTTCCCGGCACCCATCTCCACCGCACTCAAACGTCTCATGGTGGACCAGAACTTCCTGGGAGGCACCTTCCCGGCCAACAGCGCCACCTACTGCACGGCCTACTACAACTGCATCCCCACCTACATCACCTGCAACTCGCTCAACCCCAACGCGCCCAACCCCAGCGCCAGCTGCCAGATCTGCGGCATGACAGACGGCCTGGGCACGGCGTGCATGGGCAACCCGTGTGTGCCTGTGACGCCATCGCCCATCACAGCCATCAACAAGTGGAGCCCCGCCCCCGCCATGCGCTGCGACCCTGTACCCATCCAGGCCACCCAAGGTGCGCCCACTCCCCCCCCCCCCCCCCCCCCCTGCACTGCACACAATGCACGCCGGCCTTCCTGGGAAGACGTTCCGGCTACAAGGCTCCGGGCTGGGGGGATGAAGAGCGCAAGAGGTCAAGGGACGTTGGCAGAAAATGGTGCAACGCAAGGGCCCCGGGCTGTTATTCGCTGGCATTCGCTCCGTTCTCTCCCTTGCCTCTGCACGGGTCATTCGCAGACCTCCCTCTTGAGAGCATCCCGATTGAGCCTGAACCACGCCCTCATGCACACTCCTCCCTCCCCTCCCCTCCCCCCCTTGCGCATCCGTGGCAGCGTCTGCGCTGGTGGCCATGACGCCGGGGCAGTGGGGGGCGCAGACCACGTGCACGTTGGCAGGGCAGCCCACCGCCGCCGGCACCTCCCCCTCCGTCTACTGCAACCCTGTCGGGCTCGTCCTCGAAATGTACACCCGCCTGCTCGCCCCGCCCCTCTCTGCGGCCCAACCCGCCCCCTTTCGCACCTCCATTTCATGCCTGTGATGCGGGTGCATGCGTTGTCTTGCATGCGTCATCCTGCATGCGCCATCCTGCATGCGCCACGCATGCTGCCATGAAGCAGGGTGCACTCATGAGGCCATACTGTGCTCATGCATGTGCCATGCACCGTGTGGTGCCATCATTCGTGTTCGCTTAACGGACTTCTCATGCCTGTGTGCCTGCCATGTGGCATTTGACTGTGTGTACCACGTGGCGTCTCACAGTGTTCTCACGGGCGGCAAGGCCTCGGGCTCCTTCCCCATCCACGTGTCAAAGCTCTCCGCGCTTACCAAGCTGTAAGCTCTCCTCTCACTGCCACTGCATGCCCCTCACATGCCACTGCATGCCCCTCACACGCCACTGCATGCCCCTCACACGCCACTGCATGCCCCTCACACGCCACTGCATGCCCCTCACACGCCTCTGCATGCCCCTCACACGCCACTGCATGCCCCTCACATTCCAGCTCATGCCTTGCACTCCTTGCAATGCCAATACATTCCACCAAGCACGTGTGTGCCGTGTGTGTGCGCTGCGCTGCGCTGTGCCCACCGTGGCTGGCAGGGACCTGTCGGCCAACCTCTTCTCTGGCCGCCTTGACTCCTTCCTCGCGCCCTTCCTCGCCCTCAAGACTCTCAACTCCCTGTAAGCTACTCCCCCAGCCCCATGAGAGTTTCGTGCCCGCTCTTTCGCCATTCGCGTGCTGTCTCTCTGCCTGCACTCCCTTCACCCTCCCTCTCTGCCCCAACTCACATCACGTCACCCCCCTGTGTGCTGCGCCCATGCGTGCAGCCGCCTCCACCAGAACTACTTCTCGGGCTCCTTCCCGACCGGCATCTCCGCCCTCACTGCGCTCACGGAGCTGTAAGCTCGTTCCCTCCCTGCCCCCTCTCTCTCCTCAAACATCCTTCCTTACCTGCCATGTTAGTTACATTGCAACTCATCACCATGCCTCACCGCTCATCACCTTGCCGGTTCGCACTAACTCCTTTTGCGTCTCCCATTCTTCTCTCCCTCTTGCCTTTCCCTCCATTTTCCCGGCCCCTCTCCCGTGCCCTTCAATCCCTGTGCACCACTATCCACCGCTGTCGACCACTGGGGCGTGCAATGCAGGCGGCTGAACCTGAACTACCTGACAGGCAGCATGCCGGCAGCGCTGCCAGGGACCCTCAAGGTGATCGACCTGTCGAGCAACTACCTGGTGGGCACCTTCCCCACCACCACCGCCACCTCCGTCGCCTGCGCCAGCAACTGCCTGCAGGACGCCTCCAAGTGCCCCGCCGGCTCTGCTCAGCGCGCTGCAGGCGCCTGTGCCATCTGTGAGACGCCCGACGCCACGGGCAGCATGTGCAACGGCGGCATCTGCACGCCCACCGCCGCCACCACTGTCAACAATGGCACCGCCGCGCTCTTCTGCGTTGGCTCCTCCATGGATCCTGCCATGGGTCAGTGTGCTGGGGGGGAGGATTGTGCAGTGCGGGGAGCAGGCAGTGCGTGTGGCCCTTGCATTATGGCTTTTGAGTTGTCTCGAGAAATACGCAGGGGCGCATGCATTGGTACATCACCAATCGTGTGCCCGCACAGCCATGCAGCTCTTACTTTCTCACCACTTGTGCTGTGTCCGTTCCCTTCTCTGTCCCTTCCCCCCCGCATCCTTACCTTGTTCGACGCCATCCATTTCCCACTCTACACTTTTTAGCCTTCCCCCCCCTCTCACCCCCCCCCTCTCCTCCCCCCTTTCCCCTCACCCAGCAGCGGCGCTGCCGAACGTGAGGGCATCGCTGGGGGTGACGTTCACAGACTGCTGCCTCTCTGTCCCTCCCCTACCTTTCCTCCCCTCACCTCCTCCCCTTGCTCCCCTCCTTGCTACTCGCAGCGGCGGCGCTGCTGAACGTGAAGGCGTCGATGGGGCTGGCGTTCACCAACTGGGCGCTGGGCGCGCCCTGCACCATGCAGGGGGTGCCGCCGCTGCCAGGCGCCTGGTCCAACGTCCTCTGCAGCCCCAACGGCAAAGTCGTCGCGCTGTGAGTGCCTTTTGAACCCGCACTGCACCCGCACTGTCCTCCCCAGGCGAAGTCATATCGCTTTGAGTGCCTTTTGGGGCAAATTCATCTCGCTGTGAGTGCCTCTGAACCCGCACTGCACCTCCGTTCATGTGCCGTGCCACTCCTCATGGGCTGCTGTCATTCTCTGAGATCCTTGTCAGCTAGACTCTGTCTTTCGTGCATGTGCTTCTGTGTGTGCCTTGTGTGTGTGGTTGTGTTGTGTCTGTGTGGCGGTTGGTCATTGTGCAGCAATCTGGCGCAGCAGTATGTTCCAGGGACCATGCATGCGGACATCTCCAAGCTCACTTCCCTCACCTACATGTAAGCCCACACGTGCATGTGATCATGTAAATCACATCCCTCTCATCATACCCCTTTCTCCTCTCTTCCCTAACGGTCCCTTATATTGATTCCACAGCAGGTACAAGCAGGCGGATCTTCAGGACGCAAGCAGGCAGACGATGTCTGTGCCTAACAGCCTGTTCTAGATCTCATGCTACTCATCCGCCATCCGGCCCCCTCTACCCCTCATCCAGGCTATGCAGCAGGCCCCCAAGCTCCAGCAGGCCCCCAAGCTGCAGCAGCCATGGCTCTTCCCACTACCCCACCTCCTCTTGCTCTCACCCCTCTCCTCGCTCTCCCCGTCGCATGCCTACTTGCTCTGCCTGCTCCGATCGACATGCTGCCCCCCCACCCCACCTGCTGTCCTCCCCACTAGTCACTTTTCCATGTGCAAATGCTTCCATGCATGTGTGCATATGCTCGCTGCATGCTTCCATCCGTCCCCTCCTGTGTCCGTTGTCCCTCTCACTTCATCTGCGCTTTCACCTTTCTTCCTCATTCCTTGCTTCACCTTCCATCTCACGCCTGCGTCTCTCTGCTCTCCTCTGTGCCTGGGCCCCCTGCATCCCTCGCAGCAATGTGCGCACCAACTACCTGGAGGGTCGTCTGGACGTCTTCACCACCAACTTCAAGGCGCTCACGGCGCTCAAGGAAGTGTGAGTGCCGCCTGCCTCGGATGAGATGCGACCACTGCACCGCACCGCGCCGCACCGCGCTGCACTGCACGTGCTTGAGTGGCAGCTCCATGGGACCACTTCACTGCCTCGAAAGAAGCTGCTGTTGTAGCATCGCCGTGTCACCTCCTCGTGCCGTCTCACAATCTCACCACTCCCATGCTTCTCCACCCACCCACCCACTCCCATACCCCCTTCCGGCCTCTCCTCCGTGTGCCCCTGCAGCTACTTTGACTACAACTACTTCTCGGGGCCCATCCCCTCCGCCCTCGTGGCCATGGCCTCCCTCTCCACCTTGTGAGTATCACCGCCCCTTGTCACTCCCTCCTCTTTCAGAGTTTCTCTGCCTTGCTGTGACAAAGTTTGAAGAAGAACTGATGGTTGCATTAAGAGAAACATGCGGGTATACATAGTTGAGCTAAAATGGGAGGTAATATTGCCAACATAATTGGCCCCCACCAATAAGTTGGGTTGGGGAGTTATTGGGGGAACCAATAATGTTGACCAAAGTGGGTCAACATTATTGAGGGGTCCAATAATCTCCCAACCCAACCTTGGGACCCAATAATTGGGCCAAGATTGGGTTCCAACCTCAAACTAGAGTTAACCCTAGTTGTGCACCCAAACTAAGTTTGGGTGCCTATCTCGAACCGAAGCTTATAGGATAGATGCAGGTTACAATGAAGATGATAATATGACACTTGCCGCCTCCACCTCACGCCCACATCCCAACTCTTTAACCAGTTTGACCTCACGCAGGTACCGTCCATGCTTCTGCCTCATCCCTCTCACACCACTGCCTGTGTGTCGCTGCCCGGAGCCGTGCCGCTCCTTCTCTAAGGCTTCTCCGGTCCACTCAAATGCTCCACACTCACCCCTCCCGCCCATCCTCTCCTCCCTCTCTTTTCCCCCTCTCACCGTAGTGGGGCGAGGTGGAACTACCTGTACGGTGCCGTGCCCCCTCTGGCCCCCGCACTCAAGACGCTCGCTGTGGACGGCAACTGGCTGTCGGGCACCTTCCCCGGCGCCGGCTTCTCCTCCTGCTCCGCCACCAAGAACTGCTTCGCCAGCATCGGCGCCTGCACCACGGGAGGCACGGTGCAGCGCAACGCCACTACTGAGTGCGCCGTGTGCGACTCGCCGGACGGCACGGGCACCATCTGCGGCGGCGGCACGTGTGTGCCCAACACAATCAACATATACCCAAACGGCCCTTACTACGCTCCGCGACCGCGCTTCTGCGTGGGCGTGGCGCTGGACGCCACGCAGGGCAACATCCTGCTGGCACTCAAGACCACGCTGGGTGCCACCTTCTCTGATTGGACCGCCGCCACGCTCGCCGCCCCCAAGGCCACCTCCCCTAAGACCAAGACCGGCAAGAAGCCCAAGTCGGGGGGGAAGCGGCGCGTGCTGCAAGGGAGGGGGTCGATGATGCAGTATGACTGGAAGCTGGTGGGGTCGTGCACCATCCAGGGCCAGACACCCATTGCTGGGGCGTGGACTGGCGTGCGCTGCTCTCCGCTCGGCCAAGTCGTCGCCCTGTGAGTGCTGCGCCGGTCCTGCTGACCTTCCCTCCCCCACCCCGCTCTGCCTGTGCGCCGCGGGTGCTTCTCCTGCCGCCTCTCACTCACCTGTTTCCCCTGCCCCTTCCTGCCCCTGCTTCTCCCTGAAACCCGCTGTGCAGTGAGCTGCAGGGCCGGCAACTGGGTGGCACAGTGCACTCGGACATCAGCAAGCTCACCACCCTCACCTCGCTGTAAGCCATCCCTTCACTCTCTGTGAGCCGTGTCAGCAATGTGAGGGCAGCCTGTGTGGTACCCCGCCCACATCTTATGCCATTGGCTGTGCTGCTCGCAGCAGCCACTCTCGCAGCCTCAACATGGCATCACAAGCCCGCCCTCTCTCTCGCACCCCTTCATCATCTTTCCACGTTGTTTCACCCTTTTGCCACCCACATTATCCCCCCTCCCTCCGCCACCCCTGGTCCTGTGTGCAGGCGGCTGTCGTCCAACCTCTTCTTCAACCGCCTCGACTCCTACATCGTGCCCATCACGGCCGCAGCCAGCCTCAAGGAGCTGTCAGTGCAACCACGCCCCTAAATCCAACCCCCCCCCCTTCTTCCCCCCACCCTCTCTCTGATTGCCTCTTCGCACGTCTCCGTTTTTTCTGCTCTTGTGCTCCTTCACTTCGGCCCTCTGCGCGATCGTGCATGCGTGCATGTGTGTGTGCATGGTGTGTGAATGTGTGCATATGTGCTTATATGCATGTGTGTGTACGTGCTCCCTCACCCCTCTCCCCAACAGTTTTATCAACTTCAACTGGTTCTATGGCACCGTCCCCACCACGCTCGTCAACATGGCTGCCCTCTCCGCTCTGTAAAGCCCTCACCGCACACCCTCCTTCACTCAACTCCTCTTCTCCAACTACTTCACTGCCCCACCTCTCACATTCCCCCCCCGTCCATCATACCGCTTCGAGCTGCACCCATTCGTTCCTAACGCGCAGCCCTTGTTTCCTGTGCTGTGCGTGCAACTCGCCAGCGCGCTGAGCAGAAACTACCTCACGGGCACGCTGCCCAAGCCTGCGGCCACACTCAAGGCGCTCGACACGGAGTTCAACTTCCTCTCGGGCACCTTCCCCGCCGCCTCTCTGGGCTACTGCACCGTGCGCGGCAACTGCTTCCTCGACGCCTCTGCCTGCGTCAACTTCGACGGCACCTTGCAGAGAGGCGCCGGGTGCAACGTGTGTGGGTCGTCCAACGGGCAGCTGCCGATGTGTGGCGGGGCCGTGTGCACGCCCGACCCCTCCGCGTATGTGGCGGGCAAAGTGGCCAACAGCGCCAGCGCGCCCACCCTCGCCCTCAAGTGCCCCCCCTTGGCCCTTGATGCCACGTCCTGTGAGTGCCCGCATACCATACCCATGCCGTGCGCTCCACAGCACGCCCGGCACCAGCCCACTCTAGCGCCTGCAGTGTGCCATGCTGCCTGCTGCCTTCCCTTCCCTGCTGCCCACATGCATTCACGATACGTGCTTTCATGGACGTGTGTGCACGGACGCTCACCCCTGTCTCCACGTGCTGTCCCCCTGCATGCGCCCCATGAGCAGCGGCCGTGCTGCTCAAAATCGGGGCGGCGCTGGGAGTGACGCACACGGACTGGAGTGCCAGCAGCACCTGCAACATCATTGGGCAGACCATCGCCCCCAAGTCCTTCCCGGGTGTCTGGTGCAGCGGCAGCGGCGCCGTCGTCTCCCTGTGAGCCCCCCCCACTTTCACCCCCTCTTTGCGCTCTCTTGCCTGCTTTTATCGACTGGACGCTCGTCTCAGGACGTTGAGGCGGCTGGGAGAACGTCAACAGCCCATATATGAGGCTGCTGGGACATGAAGAGGAATGGAGGGGAGGACGCCCATGTATGGCTCTCTCACCCTCACCCCCAAGGCAGTATGTTGGTATGATGCTTCCGTACCTTCCATGTTATCCCTGTACTGGAACCAACATGCCCCCCTGGCTCTCTCGCTCTCGTTCTGCAATCCCTCACCCCCAAGTTGGCCGCACTGTCCCAAAGCATCGTCTCTCCTCTCATGCCTCTCTTCTGCCGTCCCTCTCACCCCTCCGCTGTGCGTGCTGCCATGGCAGCAAGCTGAACAACCTGAAGCTGGGGGGCACCATACATGCAGACATGACCAAACTCACCAGCCTCACCTACCTGTATGTGCATCACCCACCTGTGAGTGCATCACCCACCTGTGAGTGCATCACCCACCTGTGAGTGCATCACCCACCTGTGAGTGCATCACCCACCTGTGAGTGCATCACCCACCTCTGAGTGCATCACCCACCTGTGAGTGCATCAACCACCTGTGAGTGCATCACCCACCTGTGAGTGCATCACCCACCTGTGAGTGCATCACCGACCTATATTTGCATTCTCCCCCTTTTCGCCCCCATTTCCTTAGGTTCTCGCCCCTTCCCCCTATAATCCTACCATTCTCCCCCATTCTCCCCCCCATTTTCCCGACATCTCCCCCCACTCCCTCCCCCCTTGCAGGCACCTGGGTTATAATCTGCTGTATGGCCGCCTCGCCACCTTTGTCTCCAGCATCACCCCGCTCACCACTATTGTCGTCCTGTGCGTGCCCTGCCCTCGCCTCCCTCCCTCGCCCCATCTGCCACCTCCTTTTGACATGCCATACGCGCACCTCCCTCTCACATGCTCTGCTGTCGCTGCTTCATTCTGCTCTGCCCTCGCTTTCCTCCCCTTTCCCCTGCCCTGCTTGCCACCGCCATTGATGACAATTCAACCGTGCGCCCACGGGCTCCCCTCTGCATGCAACCTTGCCCCCCTCTGCATGCAACCTTGTCCACCAGGAACCTGAGCTTCAACTACCTCTACGACAGCATACCCTTCGCTCTTCTCAACATGCCATCCCTCACCGAAATGTCAGTTTTCCTGCAACCACACCGCTAGCACCTAGACCGGGATACCCACCTCCACCCAGTGCGTTTGTGAGGTTTATTATGCACACTGCGCACGCTCCTAGACGCGGTAGCCTCTAGGGCCGTAACGGCCATTGGCTCCGCTGCTGGTGAGGCGTGGGGGAGTGCCGTCAGTGAGGTGTGGGGGAGTGCTGTCAGTGAGGCGTGGGGGAGTGCTGTCAGTGAGGTGTGGGACCCCTCTCTTTCTAGCGCCCTTGGTGTGGATGCGCTGATAAGCATAGGGAAGGGCCCGACAGGACTTAAGCTCCTGGAGTGGATGCTGCTGCAGCTTTACCCTCCTTTCTGCATCTGTATGTCAGTGGTTGTTCCATCCATCAGAATATCCATCCAGGATCTCTATTCACATACCATGCATCGCCCGTGCTGCCCGTGCAGAGGGCTGAGTGGCAACTACTTGACGGGTGTGCTGCCGAGCGTGTCAACCAAGGTGCAGGCCATTACCGTGGCCAACAACTTGCTTGCGGGCACCATCACGTCACAGGCCTACAAGTACTCCGACTTCCGCAACAACTGCTTGAGCCTCTTTGGCATCCCCCAGCGCACCACCGGCTGTGCCATCTGTGGCACCACCAATGCCGTGCCGCCGCTGTGCAGCGGCGCCCCCTGCGTTCTCAACGCCACGGACGCCCTGGCGGCCGGCACGGTGAACAACCTCACGGCGCCCCTGCTGCCCTTCTACTGCGGCCGCCCCGCTATAGACGCCACTGCTGGTGCGCCCATGCCCGCTGCCTGCATGCTTCACATGTGCACACTTGCGTGACATGCACACTCACACATGCGTGACATGCCACACTGTGCTGTGCATCATACCCCTTGTCGCCTAGATTTTTTCCTCACCACCCTCTCTCTGCCTCCACTCCAATCCCATTCCTTCCCCACCTCCCTTTCCAACCGCCCGCCTTCCCCGTGGGCATGTGGGGACAGCGCAAACACTGCTGGTGCTGAGGGCGGCGCTGGGAGTGTCGCAGAGCACGTGGCTGCTGGACTCGCCGTGCGACGTGGTGGGCAACCCCCCCATGCCGGGCAGCTGGGCGGGCGTTGGCTGTGATATTGCCGGCCAAGTCGTACAGCTGTGAGTGCCACACGCCCTTCACGCCCTTGCTGCCCTTCACGCCCTTGGTGCCCTTGGTACCCTTCGTGTCCTTCACGCCCTTGGTGCCCGTGACATGTTCTGCACGGGATGTTCGCGGAAAATAAGAAAGCTGCAGGATTGAACACTTCTTTATTTCTCTCCTGTCTCCTTTTCGTTTATTTCTTTTCCTCTTTCTTCTCTCCCGTCTCCTTTATTTTTCTGCTTCAAGTTGCTGACTCATCTCATTCCTGTGTTTTGCTTGCGGGTGGCATGGTGGCGTCACCCCAGTGATCTGGTCAACATGGGTCTCAGAGGGAGCCTGCCTGCCGACTTGACGAAGCTGACGGCTCTCACCAAGATGTGAGCGCCCCTCCCACTGCTCTGCCACACCACCAACCTTGGCCCACCATCTTTTTCTTTCCAAGCAAAATGCCTCATACTCATTCATGTGAGCGTCATACTCATTCATGTGAGCGTCATACTCATTCATGTGAGCGTCATACTCATTCGTGTGAGTGCCTTACTCATATGCAGTCATCCATCCATCCCACCACTCCCCCCCCACCCCTCCGTATCCCCCCGGCGATGGCAGCAACCTGGCGTCCAACCTGTTGGAGGGGCGCCTGGCCGAGTGGGGCACCATGCTCACCACCGTCAAGTCGCTCAAGCACCTGTCAGTGCCCTCCCTGCCCTCCCTTCCCTGCCTTGCCTACCCTGCCCTGCCCTGCCTTGCCTGCCCTGCCCTCCCTGCCCTCCCTGCCCTCCCTGCCCTGCCTGCCCTCCCTGCCCTCCCTGCCCTCCCTGCCCTCCCTTCCCTGCCTTGCCTGCCCTGCCCTGCCTTGCCTGACCTGCCCTGCCTTGCCTGCCCTGCCCTGCCTTGCCTGCCTTGCCTGCCTTGCCCTCCCTGCTCTGCCCTGCCCGCCCTGACTTACTCTCACTTTCTTACTCTCACTTTCCTTATGCTCGCATTGCCTTGCCACCCGTCTCCACCTTCTCCACCCTCCACGTCTCCATCCCTCACTTTTCCATCTCGCCCTTCTCCACCCCTCTCCACCCCTCCCAAACAGCGCTCTCAACTACAACTGGTTTTCCGGCACTCTGCCAGCCTATCTGCTCTCTCTCTCGACCCTCACAACCCTGTAAGTGGCGCACACACACACACGCGTGCGCGCGCGCGCGCACACACACACACACACACACACAGACCGACACACCCGTTGCTTGCATGCGCACACATGACATCCCATGGTGTGTGTGCGTTTGGTCTTTGCGTTTGTACTCTCACCACCCACCCAACGCCTCACACCCCACCCTCTCCGACCACCATTCCCACCATTCTCCCTTCTCTTCCACCGCCCCCACCACTCTGCCGCCTGCCGTCCCGCCTGCAGCAACGTGCACTACAACTACCTCACCGGCTACCTGGCCCCCATAGCAGCAACCCTCAAGACCATCAACGTCGCCTCCAACTTCCTGGCGGGCCCCTTCCCTGCGTCCTCCACCACCATGTGTGACGCGCGCAACAACTGCCTAAGCAGCGCCGCCAACTGCGTCTCGTCGGGCTCCTCCGTGCAGCGCGCTTCCTGCACCATCTGCAATGGCACCGCCGCCAATGTGCTGTGCGGTGGGGGCGTGTGCTCGCCCAACACGGACGGCCAGCTCGCCTCCAAGACGCCCAACAGCGCCACCGCTGGCGTGCTGCCCATGCGCTGCACTGGAGTTCGAATCGACCCCGCAGCTCGTGAGTTCCGCGCCTCCTCCATGGGCCTGCTCCATGGGCCTGCTCCATGGGCCTGCTCCATGGGCCTGCTCCATGGGCCTGCTCCATGGGCCTGCTCCATGGGCCTGCTCCATGGGCCTGCTCCATGGGCCTGCTCCATGGGCCTGCTCCATGGGCCTGCTCCATGGGCCTGCTCCTCTGCTGCTCGCGTCCTCGCTCCTCGCCCCACTTGCCATGCCCTCGGCGGTCTTTGGTGCTCCTCCCCCTTTCACCCACCGCCCTTTCCTGTTTCCGTCGCCACTGTGCGTCCCCATTCTTGCTCCCCTGCTTGCCCCTCTGCTTTTCCCCCTGTGTGCCCCCTCCTTGCAGTGCCGATCCTGGCGAACTTGAAGACGGCGCTGGGAGTGCCGCACCCAGGGTGGGGCGAGCAGACGATGTGCACGGTGTCGGGCATCCCCAAAGGCCCTGAGGACATGCCTGCCGTGTACTGCAACTGGCAGGGCAAGGTCATCGACCTCTTCCTCAAGTGGCGCCTCATGCGCGGCGTCATGCACCCCGACATCTCCAAGCTCACCGGCCTCACCGCCCTGTCAGTGCCGCCGCTGCTACTCAGCTTCACACTCTGCTACTCAGCTTCACACTCTGCTACTCAGCTTCACACTCTGCTTCTCAGCTTCACACTCTGCTACTCAGCTTCACACTCTGCTGCTCTTTCTGCTCGCCCTCCTCAAGGGCTCGCCTTCCTGCTCTTCCATCTTCTCATGCCTGCCACTCCCCTCCCCCTCCTCTCCCTCCCACCCCCCCCTGCAGGGACCTGTCGGGCAACTTCCTGTCGGGCCGCTTGGACCCGTTCATCACGCCGCTCACCGGCCTCGCCGGCATGAAGATCCTGTACGCCCGCCAGCCCGCGCCCCCTGCGCCCCCCCCTTCTCTTCTCCCGCACTCTCTTGCATTCCTTGTACCTTCGCCGCTGTCGGTGGCCCTTTCCTGCCTGTCCCTCCTCCGCTCTAACCTGCCATGTGGGAATTGCCCTCTTCCCCCCTTCTCTCCTCGTCCCCCTGCTCGCAGCATCATGAACTACAACTTCTTCTCCGGCTCCATCCCCTCCACCGTCTCCTCCATCAAGAACCTCTTAATGCTGTGAGCCCCCAGCCCCCTGCCCTGCCTCCCCATGCTGTGAGCCCCCTGCACTGCCTCCCCCCACAACCGCCCTTCTTTATTTCCATGCACTATCTTATCTGCATACCGTGCCACACCTTGCCATGCGCTGTCGCCCACCCCCCCCCCCCCCCCCATGCCCCCTGTGCGTGTGCGTGTGCGGGCAGGAGCCTGGGGTGGAACTACCTGACGGGCACGGTGCCGGACATGCCACCGAAGCTGAAGGTGCTGGACCTCGAGTACAACTGGCTCTCGTACACCTTCCCGACGGCCACCACCACCACGTCCACGTGGGACTTCTGCACCGTGCGCCAGAACTGCTTCATCGACCCCACCCCCTGCGGCAATGGCAACATCATCCAGCGCTACTCCTGCGCCGTGTGCGGCACCAAGGACGCCAACGGCACGCTGTGTGGTGGCACCACCACGTGCCAGCCCGACCCCGCGGCCGTCAGGGCCGCCACCAATCGCCAAACCAGTGGCGCCCCCCAGCTCGCCATCACCTGCCCCCCCCCACAGCCCGTCGCCACCGACGCCACCGCAGGTATGGCTGCACCTGGGCCTCGTGCTGCTGCCACCGTGACTCTCACGTCTGCTGCCCATGTTCATGCCCATGCCTCTCATCTCTCCTGCCCGTGTGTCCCCCCGCCCCCTGCCACCAGTGGGGGCGCTGATGAACATCAAGATGGCGCTGGGATTGACGTACACGGACTGGGCGTCCACCTCCACCTGCGCGGCTGCTGGCACGGCCCTCGGGGGCTTCACTGGCGTCGAGTGCAACTCGCTTGGCAACCCCGTCAAGATGTGAGCAGCGAGCACCAGTGGGGGGCCTTCCCTGGGTGGCTGTTACGGGGGCTTTAGGCGGGTCGGACGGAAGCAAAAGAATCCTCAGTGGAGAACGAATCGCCTCTGTGCTCTTGTCTTGTGTATTTGTTTTTGTTTCAAATTCTCCATCCGTTTCCCCATTCTACTCCAGCATGGCCGGCCTCACTTAACTCTCTCCACTTCCTCCCTGTGCTCCCACCTTCCCTTCTTACCACCTTTCTGGCCCCCTCCCGTCCCCGCCTCCCCACAGCACCCTGGACAGTCAGAAGCTGTTTGGCATTCTGCATGCTGACATCACCAAGCTCACTGCACTCACATTCCTGTAAGCACACTTTCTTATAATCACTACTATCCACATCAGCACTCAATCTCTTGTAATCAAGTTTCACCAAGGAAAACAGTAAAGCCGGATTCATTTTCATCCATGGCCGCAACAGGAAACATGCAAGATAGGGCTAAGAATTTCAAGCACTCATCATTCCCTGAGCGCTCACTCTTGCCTACGCGTTCGCATGCTGGAGCAAGTGGTGTGAGCGAGCATGCTGGAGCAAGTGGTGTGAGCGAGCATGCTGGAGCAAGTGGTGTGAGCGAGCGTGCTGGAGCAAGTGGTGTGAGCGAGCATGCTCACGTGCCGCTCCATGATTGGTCGTGCACATGCTGGCTCGTCAGCTGGCTGCCCCCTACTCGCATCCACCACCAATCTATACCTTCACTTCACCCCTCCTCCCTGCGTGTGCATGGCAGCTCGCTCAAGTCGAACCTCTTCAGGGCGCGCCTGGACGAGTTTGCCAGCAAGATTCCATCGCTGCCCAACCTTGCAGTGCTGTGAGTCGCCTTTCAACCTAGCAGTGCAATGCATTGTTTGCATCACCTCTTCTCCCACCGTCTAGATTCTTCTCCCACACCACCTCGCCTTGCGAACTGACCCCCTTTTCCTGTCATCCCTCTGCCCCCCGTTGTGAATGAATATGTGTGTGCGTGTTGGGCATGCTGTGCGTGTTGGGCATGCTGTGCGTGTTGGGCATGCTGTGCGTGTTGGGCATGCTGTGCGTGTTGGGCATGCTGTGCGTGTTGGGCATGCTGTGCGTGTTGGGCATGCTGTGCGTGTTGGGCATGCTGTGCGTGTTGGGCATGCTGTGCGTGTTGGGCATGCTGTGCGTGTTGGGCATGCTGTGCGTGTTGGGCATGCTGTGCGTGTTGGGCATGCTGTGCGTGTTGGGCATGCTGTGCGTGTTGGGCATGCTGTGCGTGTTGGGCATGCTGTGCGTGTTGGGCATGCTGTGCGTGTTGGGCATGCTGTGAGTGTTGGGCATGCTGTGCGTGTTAGGCATGCTGTGCGTGTTGGGCATGCTGTGCGTGTTGGGCATGCTGTGCGTGTTGGGCATGCTGTGCGTGTTGGGCATGCTGTGCGTGTTGGGCATGCTGTGCGTGTTGGGCATGCTGTGCGTGTTGGGCATGCTGTGCGTGTTGGGCATGCTGTGCGTGTTGGGCATGCTGTGCGTGTTGGGCATGCTGTGCGTGTTGGGCATGCTGTGCGTGTCGGGCATGCTGTGCGTGTCGGGCATGCTGTGCGTGTCGGGCATGCTGTGCGTGTCGGGCATGCTGTGTGTGTTGGGCATGCTGTGCGTGTTGGGCATGCTGTGCGTGTTGGGCATGCTGTGCGTGTTGGGCATGCTGTGCGTGTCGGGCATGCTGTGCGTGTCGGGCATGCTGTGCGTGTTGGGCATGCTGTGCGTGTTGGGCATGCTGTGCGTGTTGGGCATGCTGTGCGTGTTGGTCACGTGCATCCCGCAGCCTGCTGGACTTCAACTGGTTCTACGGCAGTCTGCCCCCTGGCCTCGTCGCCATGCCCAAGCTCACGCGCCTGTAAGCGCCGCCTCCATGCTACCATGCACGTGTCTGCTCCTTAGCAAACTTCCAAACCCCTTTGACTGCTGCTTCTGTGTCAAGTCTCGTGCCAACAAATAGGTTGCCGTAACGGCACCTCCATCCTTCTCTCATCCATCCGTCCCTCCCCCACCCACTTTTGCCCCTTTCCCTCGTGGCAGCGGCCTGTCCTACAACTACCTCACATACCGCGTGCCTCCACTGGCAGCGGGGCTCAAGGACATCGATGTGGGCTTTAACTTCCTCTCGGGCTCCTTCCCGGCCAACTCCGCCACATCATGCGGCGCCAACAACAACTGCTTACTCGCCGCCACCACGTGCGCCACCAAGGGCACGGCGCAGCGGGCGACCGGGTGCAGCTTCTGCCTCTCCGACACGGCGCAGGGCATGCTGTGCTATGGCCGTGGCATCTGCACCGTTGACGCCACCGCTCCCTTCGCCGCCGGGACGCCCAACGCTGTCGGGGCCACCACGCTGCCGCTGGCTTGCATTGGTGAGTGTGGGGGGGGTGCACAAGGGGGACAGGGCGGTGCTGCCATTGGTACACGTGTCAGTGGCATGCCATCTTCTGCAATGCCTCCCCTTGCAACTCACTCTCCCCTCTCTTTGCCCCGCCCACCTGCACCTGTGCTTGTGCTTGTGCTTGTTCTTGTGCTTGCAGATGTTCTGTGTGCCACTGCATCACCTGTCATGTGTCCCACCGACTGGCGCTGCAGCGGACTGCAATGCGTTGGGAACAACTTTGCCAACTGCTTTGGCTTCCTTTGCACTGGCTAGATGCTATCCACTTTGCTGCAATTCTACTTGGTTTGCTCCAGTGCTGCCATGTTTTCTGCAGTGTCAGAGCCGTTTAGGGTTTGCAGTGCTGCGGGCTGGTCTGCATTGGCTGCTGACGTGGGAAGGCATTCTCTTGGTTATCTGACTGAAATGACATCCCCTCTTATTTACCGTACTATTTGACTCGTATTGCACTCACGTTTGTGTACTTGTGCATTCCTGAACCTAATTAGGTGGTGGTGAGGTGATGGTGTTTGATGCACTAGGTCGGATATCAAAATGACAAGCCCGTAGAAAAGATTGTCAGAGGTCCACTGGTGATCCCCGATTGATCCTAGGGAAGGGTTACAGGCACGTTGGCTTGGGAGGTTATGGGCGCACTCATCCGCTACACAAACAAGTCAATTTATCCCAATGGTCTAGTGGTTGGGATTTTGACATGGTATCAGAGCAAAAGTCTCGGGTTCGAATTCCAATGTGTGCACCTCGGGCATCCCAGTGCGGGGGGGATGTCAGAGGTCCACCAGTCGCACTGCCCGTCATGCAGCACTCTTGTCCGTCACGCGCCCCGAGCGCGTGGCGGTTTCTGCCCGTCGCACGCCCCGGGCGTGTGGCGGTTTCTGCCCGTCGCGCGCCCCCAGCACGCGACGGTGTTCTGCCTGTCGCTCGCCCCCAGCGTGCGACGGTTTTCTGCCCGTCGCGCGGGGGCCCCGTCGCAGTGCTTCCCGCCGTCTCCGCCGCCCGCTTCCTCCTCCCTCTCCTGCTTCGCGTGCAGCAGTTTGGGGGGAGGGGGGGGGGGGTGTTGGGGGGACGCAGGAGTGGCGGTGGAGGGTGGTTGCACCTACAGCGCCCCACTGCTCTGCTTCGTCACCAAGCCAGCAGCCCCCCCTTCTGCCTCTACCTTCCCCCCCCTGCTGCTCCTACTGCAGCGGCGGTTTCTGCCCGGCGCCTCATGCGCCCTGCCCGCCCGCGCCCGCCTCACCAGATCGTACACCTCGCCCCCCCTCCCTTCCCTGCCCTCTCCCTACTACGTGTGCAGCAGTTTGGGGGGAGGGGGAGGTGGTGTAAGGGGGAGGTGGCACCAACGGCACCACCCTGCCTCCTCTATTTCACGGCCGCACCTGCTGCTGTGGGGGGGAGGGTGGAGTGGTGGGAGTGGTGGGAGTGGCGGGAGGAGCTACTGCCGCTGCTTCTCGCCTTCCCCTCTCTCTCCCTGCTGCGCGTGCAACAGTGGGGGGGTGGGTTTGGGGTGGCGGGTGTGAGCACCCAGCTGCCGCCCCTCCTCTCTCTCTCACTGCCGCATGTGCCGTTGTGGGGGGGAGGGTAAGGGGGTGGCGGGCTTCTGGCCGCCGTGTGAAGGCTTGAGCAGGGACCACCGTGGGTGGGGAAGGCGTTGGAGGAAGGGTGGGGGGGAAGGTGTGAGGTTCCAGGAGGCGGTTGACAAGCGGGGTGAGGTTGAAGGGGATGGCTGAAAGGGGGCGTGGAATTAGGGGGTTAGTAAGAGGGGCTCTCCGCGCTAGGCTCCCCCCCACCTCCTCTACTCCCTCTCTCACCCTCCCCCCTTTGTAAAACGGGGGTTCGTAAGAGGGGTTCGCTGCGTGGCTCCCCCCACCTCCTCTCCTCATCCCTCTCCCCCCCCCCCCCCCCCCCCCCCTTTGTAAAACGGGGGTTCGTAAGAGGGGCTCGCCGCGTGGCTCCCCCCACCTCCTCTCCTCATTCCTCTCCTCTCCCCTCTCTCTCTCGCCTCCTCCTCCTTATTTACCTCCTTGCCGTCTTCCACTGCGCGTGGTGTACCCCTTCAGGGGGCGTAACTGTCAAAATGTTCTAATGCTCATATTGTGTAGGCTGTAGTGGGGTAGCCCATAAGGGGTACAACCTAATTAGGGTTAGTACTTGTACCAACTTTCTCCTCAATGCATTCATTCTCGTTCAGTATTCTGACATGGTTTCATAGCAGGTCCTGTTCCAGGACCGTTTTTTTAGGGCCCATCACATAGCGCTGCCCCAATAGTCGCGTCGCCCTGCCCTGTTTGCCGCGTCGCCCTGCCCTGCCTGTCGCGTCGCCCTGCTGGCCGTCGCGTCGCTCTGCCCAGCCTGTCGTGTCGCCCTGCTGGCCGTCGCGTCGCCCTGCCCTACTTGCGCGCCGCATTGCTGGCAGGTGCGCCGCCCTGCCCTGCCTGCGCGTCGCCCTGCCCTGCCCGCGCTGAGCCGCCCTGCAGCCCACACTGCCCTGCTACGCGCCGCCCTGCTGCTGCCCGCCCTGGTGGCCAACGCCCTGCTGCCCGCGCGCCGCCCTGCTGGCAGCCGCACCGCTGCCCACACTGCCCTGCCCGCGCCGCCCTGCTGGTCGACGCCCTGCTGCCCGCGCGCCACCTTGCTGCCCGCGCGCCGCCCTGCTGGCAGCCGCACTGCCCTACCCTGCCCACGTGCCGCCCTGCTGGCCGCCGTCCTACCCTGCCATTGCACTGCCCTGCCCTGGCCGCGCGCCGCTCTTCCCTGCCATGCGCGCTTCCCTAGTGCTCGCGCGCCGCCCTGTCTGCGTGCTGCCCTGCTGGTCGCGCGCCACCCTGCTCTGTCCGCTATGGCTTCTCTCAGTGTTCTCACCTTCGATCATGAGGGCCGTCCGATCCAGTTCGAATCGTGGCTCGACGACTTACAGCTGTACCTACTGAGCGATTCTAGAGACAGCGTTTCGTTGTTTGACCACACGTCTGGAGCCTCTCTCGGCCCCTCCCGCCACAGCTGACAGTGCAACTCGCTCACAGTGGCTTACCCGTGACGCTACTGCTCGCTTAGCCGTTCACAACCACTTGCCGTTAGCCGAACGCGCTCACTTTGGCCAGCACAAGACTGCTAAAGCCCTGTACGACGCTGTAGTCGCTCATTACTCTTCCCCTGCCACTGCTGCTCTCGGCCGCCTAATACTGCCCTACCTGTTTCCCGAGCTGTCAGCCTTTGCTACAGTCGAGGACCTCATTACCCACCTTCGCACTAGCGACACTCGCTACCGCAGTGCCCTCCCAGCCGAGTTCCTAGACAGGAACCCCTCCCCCCCCCGATGTACATCATTCTCTACTTCATAGTCACCCGCCTCCCTGACTCTCTTCGCGCAGTCAAGGACCACTTTCTCACACTTGACCCTACAGACCTCACTGTCCACCTGCTTGAGAAGCACCTCCTTGCAGCTTAGACTAGCGTAGTCGCTGTAGGTGCTGCTCGTCGCACTCCTCGCACACCCTTCTTTGAGGGGTGTTCCCCCTTTTTTTTTGCCCCCTCCTACGCTTCTGCTGGTGCTGTTGACATCCTTCGTACTGAGGATGGCGGGGCTGCTTCTGCTCTTAGTGGGAAGCGCCGCAGCAGCAAGGGCAAGGGTGGCAAGGGTGGTGGCGGTGGCAACGGGGGTGGTGGTGGTGGAGGCAGTGGAGGCGGTGGAGGTGGCGGAGGTGGTGGCAGCGATGGGAGTGGTGGCGGGACTGGGGGCTTTGGTGGCGGCAGTGGTGGCAGCGGTGGGGGTGGGGGTGGCGGTGGTGGCGGCAGTGGGAGTGGTGGCAGCGGCAGTGGTGGCGGTCGAGGTGGAGCTGTTCAGAGGGGAGTGTCTAGCGGTGGCCAGAGGCAGCAGCAGCAGCGTCAGAGCGAGAACCCTACGCCCCAGCAGCTTCGTGAGTGGTTTGCTCAGCGTGGGGTGTCTGGGGGTAGTGTTCGCTGCCCGTATGTCATTTGCACAAGTGACCGCGCTGGTCAGACATGCGGGAAGTTTCACACACAGCACCGCTGCTTCTTTCGCCTTGACGACGCTTGGCGCGCAGAGTTTGGCGACAAGGCTGAGCGCCCCCGCTGGCTAGAGCTGCTTAGGTCTGGTGTTGATATCTTTGCTCTTGACTATGATGCTATCCTTGCTGCCATGTATGCCGTGTCTCTAAGTGCTGAGGGTGACTGTTACCTGTGTGTGCCGCCCGACCCAGGTATAGAGGCTGCTGCTCTAGGTGCTAGTGAGTCTGCTCTCCCTGGTACTGCGCTTGTTGAGGCCTTGCACACCTTCACACTTGACTCAGGTGCTTCCCGCTGTTTCTTTTGCGAAAGTACCACCCTCACTCCACTCCCTACACCTATTCCAGTCAGACTGGCTGACCCCTCAGGGGGCCCAGTTCTTGCCCGCTCCTCCACTGCTCTCCCGTATCCGGCGGTTCCGTCCGGCTTACTCTCAGGTCTTCACCTCCCCTCGTTCTCTACGAACTTGGTGAGTACTGCTGCCCTCCGGGATGTGATGGTCACTACCACCACTCCTGGGGGTCAGCGTGTGTCGATAAGCACGTGTACACGGACGGGCCGTCACCTGGCCACGTTAACCCGTCGGCCTGGGTCGAGTCTGTACACACTAACTACTGAGCCTCCTCAGGTAGCTGCGTCTGCTCAGGTGTCCGCGTCAGGTCTGGTAGCAGCCCCCTCCTCGTGTCGCCTCCTGTTGCACCAGAATCTCCTTTGGCACAACCGCCTTAATCACCCCTCCCTGCCACGCCTTCGTGGCATGCACTCCCGCCTCCTTGTTTCTGGTCTTCCCAGGTTTCTGCCTCCCCTCCCGCCCTCGCTTGCCCCGCCCTGCCTTCCTTGCGTCGAGGGGTGGCAGCGCGCCGCTCCTCAAGCCTCCTCGTTTCCCCCGACGTCTGCTCCCCTGCAGACTCTCCACATGGACGTGTGGTGCCCAGCCCGTGTCAGTGGACAGGGCCGCGAGCGCTACTTCGTGCTGGTTGTTGACGACTACACGCGTTACACCATGGTCTTCCCCTTGCGCAGCAAGGGTGAGGTCCCTGATGTCTTCATCCCTTGGATCCGCGCAGTCCGTCTCCAGCTCCGCGAGCAGTTCCGTGAGGACCTTCCTACCTGCGTCCGCACTCTGACAGAGTTGGTGAGTTCTGCTTCGACCTCTTGCATGACTTTTGTCGTGGGGAGGGCATTCTCCAGTGGTTCACACTTCCGGCCTCCTTGTAGCAAAATGGGGTTGCTTAGCACTGCATTGGCTTAGTCATGGAGGTGGCTCGTACCTCCATGATCCATGCGGCTGCTCCCCATTTTCTGTGGCCGTTTGCGGTCCGGTATCTTGCGCATCAGCTCAACCTCTGGCCTCGTGTCTCCTTGCCGGAGACCTTGCCTACAGTGCTTTGGACAGGGAAAGTTGGCAATGCGTCGGTGTTCCGGGTCTGGGGCTCTCGTGCCTTTGTCCGCGATACTTCTGCGGACAAGCTCTCCTCCCGTGCTATTCCCTGCGTCTTCCTTGGATTTCCCCCTGACGCGCCTTGTTGGCCGTTTTACCACCCCACCTCGCGCCGTGTCCTGCCTTCTCAGGACATCACATTTGACAATCCGGTTCTCTTTTACCGTCTCTTCCCCTACCGTTGTGCCCCTCTCCCACCCCCGCTGCTCTTCCTTGCTCTAGGTCCCCCTCCGGTAGACCCCCTCCCCCCTCAGGGTCTTGCTCCCTCAGGTGTGTCTCACGTAGAACTACTCCCCTTGGCTGAGCTTGTCGAGGTCGCTGTAGACTCAGGTGCTGCTAGGGGTGCTGAGCCTGCGAGTGCGGAGCCTGGGGGTGCTGAGCCTGAGGGTGCGGAGCCTGGGAGTGCTGAGTCTGAGGGTGCGGAGGGTGGGGGTGCTGAGCCTGAGGGTGCGGAGCCTGGGGGTACTGAGCCTGAGGGTGCGGAGCCTGGGGGTGCTGAGTCTGAGGGTGCAGAGTTTGGGGGTGCTGAGCCTAGGGGTACTGCGTCTGCCGGAGGTCCTGCGGGTGCCTCGCCACGACTGTCTCACCGGCGGGAGCCTCTCTTACCGCAGCAGCTGCGCGAGTGGTTTGCTCAGCGCACACGCGTTAGGAGTGGCGCTGCAGGAGCTGGAGGCTCTGCCGCTGGAGGCACTGGAGCTGGAGGTGCTGTAGCTACTAGTCCTGGAGGTGCTGGAGTTACTGCTGGAGCTAGAGGTACTGGAGGTGTTGGAGCTGCTGGTCCTGGAGGTTCTCGTACTAGTTGTACTGGAGCTGCCGTAGCTGGTGGTGATGGAGGTGCTGGAGCTAGAGACCGTGGCGCTGGAGGCACTGGAGCTGGAGACCCTGGAGCTGGAGGCACTGGCGCTGGAGGCGCTCGAGCTGGAGGCACTGGAGCTGGAGGTGCTGGAGCTTCTAGTCATGGAGGTGCTGGAGTTACTGCTGGAGCTGGAGGTCCCGGAGGTGCTGGAGCTGCTGGTCCTGGAGGTGCTCGTACTTAAGGTACTGCAGCTGCTGGAGCTGGTGGTGTTGGAGGGGCTGGAGCTGGAGACCCTCGAGCTGGAGGCACTGGCACTGGAGGCGCTGGAGCTAGAGGAGCTGGAGCTGGAGGCACTGGAGCTGGAGACCCTGGAGCTGGAGGTGCTGGCGCTGGGGGTGCTAGAGCTGGCGGTCCTGGTGCTGGAGGCACTGTGCAGCGGCGCCCGTTTTTTGTTCCACCGCCACCTG